AAGAAGATAAAACTCAGGTTGCAAATTAAAAACAACAACAACAAAAACCAAACAAACTAAAAACTAAGGTGTTTAAAATCAGAATCAGCTTTAATGGCCAAGTACGTACACAACATACAAGGAATTTGGTTTGGGCTGTTGGTGTCGCACTGGGAATTTGCACGAATAATAGAAATTGGAAAATTAAAAAATAAAACAAAGTAAAATAACTACACAAAGAAAAGAATAAAATACAATAAATATTAATCAAAAATAAAACAAGATAATAAGACAAATATATACAAGAATTTACACATCTAGTAGAAAAGGGTTTATGTACATCAGTGCAAGATGGAAGTGCAAATGTTTTGTCAGAAGGAAAGTTTTCTCTCTCAAAGAACGGAAGTTGAAAGGATTTTAATCTTTCACTTGTTGGGTTTTCAGTTGAATTGTTTTCTAGTCGATGTTAGAAACAAAGTTGCTTCAGAGAGTTTTTTTTTTTTTGTATTACACTTTCTCAGCCTCCCACATCATGTTTCCCAAATGGAAAATATGACCTCCTCCAAATATTAAAACTGAAATATTTTCTACATTTTCCCCTGACCCTCCTACACACGTTTGGCCATGAAGCGAATAACGTGCTTGAGTAAACATCATTTGAAAGGCTTTCTATCCATTTAATGACACAGCTTTATGTAACAGACTCATTTTGAAAATGATTTCAAGCGTGCTCGATTTGAGGACGGTGAGAGTTTGAAAGCTTTTTTTTTCTCTCTCTTTTTTTTTAATCATCATCATCATCCACTATCATCTGCTGCACAGACTGCAAAAGGTCAAAGGTTTGATCCCGACACACTGAGGATGCTCGCTCGCTGTAAGATGAGTGACTCAGCTACATAAAGGATGAAAGACGCTCCAGCTGCTGTTTCACACAAACAAAAGTTTACATCTCTTGACAATAACACATGAAAGGTGTTTTTTCTGGCATCGACTGCTTTTGTCCTCTTTGAAAGGTTTTTGGCAGTAAAAGCCTGGAGAATTGTTTCCAAGTGTTCAAACTGCCAAAACAAGCAAATGGATCTTTTTTTTTTCTTTTTTCAAATCTGCTGTCTCAGTGTATATGTACAAAAGAATGTATATTTATACATCTCTCTATTATTTGTCTTGACAAGGAAAATAAAACTTTTAAGTTCCTCCTACACACACGTCTGGCAGGAGGCGGTTTGAGAGTAAAAATCCTTGATAAACTTTTTGACTCTGTCTCTGTCTCAGGTGTTCTCCTAGTCGCTGTGAACACGGTGGACGCTGCAGTCAGTCCTGGACCATCTTCCACTGCAACTGCTCTGACAGCGGATACAGCGGAGCCACCTGCCACAGCTGTAAGTCACATATTTTTCACAGGAGCTATGCAACATTATTGTCTTCATCAGTCTGCTAAGGCGGCAGCATTCTGTCATTAAGATGTTGGTCCCTTTTATCTTAATGTTCCTCATGGCTGCATACAAACATTTCCGCCACAGTAATGGAGAGAACCACTGTATGATAACACACAGAAGACTTGGTTGATTTGGTAGCGTTGCCTTTAAACTGTACGTCTCGGGTCAAATGTTTTGGGCTTCCTTCCACAAGCTTCTCACAATAGTTTGCTTTTCTAACCATATTTGACATATTTTAAAACTGATGGGTAAATGATGCAGCATCTTAATCTGGACAGTAGCTCTGCAAACTCCACAACACCCCAGAAACCAACGAGTGCTACTGGAAAAGTACCTGATCCCCATGTTTCCTGTTTGTTCAACATATTTCTACAGAAGATTACTTTGTGTAGGAATATCCACCATATAGGCATATTATCATCTGAAATAATGAAGATGTTAAACCAGAAGCACAACTTTTCCTGGGATCTTTATGACCGTTTTGGTTTTATTTTGGTGTACATGTGAAAAGACTTAATTGATTGGAAAGTTGGAAAGTCTTTCTTCTTTTTTCTTTCATTTGACAGAAAAAAAGAGTCAAAGTTTTGAGGTTTGAAAATGTGAATTCTTGCTGGTTTTCTTCTTTTGCATGCCAGTTGATCAGCGCATTAGCTGCGAACTTGATGTTTACTGACCAAAAGCTGGACTGTTTTTACGGACCAAATGAACATTTGATTAATTGATAGTTGCAGCGAGGTGTTTTGTAATTAGTCCATTAGCTCCATATCACCAAAACAAATTAACAAATTTCCAAATAATTGCACAGAAACTGACGCACAGACGTTGGAGAAACCAGACGAGATGCAAAGATAAAGACAGAGAGGAAGCTTTAACAGATAAAACTTTTGGATTAGAACCAATTGAGAGAGGAAAATGAATACAGCAAGTGGATTTGGACAAACTGAAAAGTAAATGTGACTCTAAGTACAAAATAAATTGTACATACAGTGAACAAAACAACAGAAAAACATCGAGCAACCCAGAGACCGTTAATAATATGCTGCTTTTATGTCACCTCCATCTTTCTCTCAATCACTTGTGACGGTTTTAAAGCAGCACTGAGAGACTTGTCAGGCTGACAGCTCCAAGTGGAATCAAGGAGAACCTGTAATTCTGAGGCTGCCAATCACACATGCACTTAACAGCCATACTGTTGAGTAATTACAGTGGAGAGGGTTTTTCCCCTTAACATAGGCGCTGCAAATTGGGTGTTATGACAGAACAAAGAGAGTTTTCTTTTGGCAACCTGGAGACATTTTTCAAATAAATTGACTCCTTTTAAGAGCTTTTCTGCGAGGTCTGTTCAGGACTGTCGCTCCTCCTTCCTTTGTGTTGCCGTGTGAATGATATCAAAGAGGTTAATGAGACTAAACTGCCAAAATACCGCTTGAAAAATGTGCAGGAAAGGTGAGCTTATTGGTGAGAGTTACTGGCTCTGTGAGGATTCTCTGGAATGAGATGAGATGAGATTAAAAAGGGGAGTTTCTGCGTTAACCTTCTTCTAACCACACTTGATGATTTAAAGGCCTTTTTGTGGGAACTTTGTGGTTGATAAGACCTGGTAAAGTTTTATTTATGGAGTCTGTGTGTTCCCGTCAGTCCTTCCTGTCACCTCTCGTTGGATTGAACTTTAATTTATTGTGCTGTTCCTGCAGAGACCAAACCTCGGAGGATTTTCTACCTGGTGATCATGAGATACTGATTTGGTGATGATGCATGAAGCAGCACCATAATCTTCATCCCCTCACATGCTGACGCTGTTGATCTCATTGTTTCCCTCTCCAGCTGTGTACGAACAGTCCTGCGAGGCGTACAAACACAACGGCAACACGTCTGGACACTTTTACATCGACGTGGACGGCAGCGGACCAATCAGACCACAGCTGGTCTACTGCAACATGACAGGTGACACACCAACACTTTCACTCCTCCTCTTCCTCCCATCATTGCGCAGCGTTTCCTGTGATTAACATTTACATAATTATAAATGAGGACGCTCCTCTCATCACACTCTGACCCACTTTATCTTCCATCCCCCTCTTCAATGTCCATCCTGGAGAGTTATGTAATTGGTTTCCTGATGAGACTGAACTTTTCTCTCCGTGATGATATACACGTGTTGATGATTCACCTAACGGTTGAAACATCCATCCATCCATCCATCCATTACCTATACACCGCTTAATCCTCACTAGGGTCGCAGGGGGGCTGGAGTCTATCCCAGCTGACTCAGGGTGAAGGCAGGTTCACCTGGACAGGTAACCAGTCTATCACAGGGCTACACGTAGAGACAGACAACCAAGCACACTCACATTCACACCTACGGACAATTTACAATCACCAATTAACCTCAACATGTTTCTGGACTGTGGGAGGAAGCCGGAGAACCCGGAGAGAACCCACGCTGCACGGGGAGAACATGCAAACTTCATGCAGAACACGTAGCGTGAACCGGCAACCTTCTTGCTGCGAGGCAACAGCGCCACCTTGCAGCCCCATGGTTGAAATAATGGTTCTTTTTTCTTTTAACTGTTTCTCATCCTCACTGTTTTTTGTTTTTTTTCCATAGCATGCACTGTCTAAAGTGTGCATAAAACTTAACATTACAAAGATAAGTTACTGTTTTAACATCTAATTCAAAACCATTAATCTGCTGCTGGTCTTTTGCAGCACAGTTTGGAACTTGCCTGAATTTGATCACATTCAGCCACATCAGTCATATCGATGATGCTGGCTGCCTGTAGTGTGTTAAAAGTGTTTCTTTTTTTTATCAGCTTGGCTTTGTGCATAGGTGATTGTCATATTGTAAACTGCAGGATTTCCCTTCACTGTTGCCACAAAGTTGTAGTATTGGGATTCTTTGTGACTGGAACTAAGAGGTCCAGTACTGACCAGAAAAACAGCCACGAACTAAAAGTAAACCGTACACTGATTAGCCACAGCATCAAAACCACCTGTTGGCTTTTGCTTAGGTCCAGCTTGTTCCTCCAAAACCAGGACTTGGGGTGTCCTGTGGTCTGGATGTTGGCATTGGATCTTTTGGGTCATACGGGTTGCGTGTTGCTGTGTCTGTGGATTGGATTTGTTTTGATTCCACAGATGCTTGATTGGATCAGAACCTAGAGATCTTGAGTCAGTGCTTTGGCCTCTTTGTTCCTCAACCTATTCCTGAACAGTGATGTTTAGGTGTGTGGTACATGTCAAAGTTACATCCACATGAGTACGAGGACACAAGGTTTCCCAGCTGAGCATTGCATTGAAACCTATTTGATCAATATTATTCACTAATTCATTAATTTTGTGGCATATCGGTGTACAGTTTGGAACTGGTGGAACAAATCAAAAAACTGTAGATGAATGAATAAAAACAACAATATGCAAGGTAGTGTGAAGGAGTTTTATCGCTTTTATCCAAAATGTGGATACAAGACGAGGATATCAAAGTTTTTTAGAACACCTTTGACCACTTGTTGTTTACATTCTCGTGTGTTTGTGGCGTCCGTCTGCAGAGGACAACACATGGATGATGATGCAGCACAACAACACAGAGCTGACCAGACTGAGACCCTCTGCAGGTGTGAAACAGCACTTAGTCCACTTTGACTACTCGTCTCAGGATGAGCAACTATTGGCCGCCATCAGCCAATCAGAGCACTGCGAGCAGGAAATGAGCTACCACTGCAGGAAGTCCCGCCTCCTCAACACTCCAGGTAAAGTCTTTTTTCTTTCTTTCTTTTTTTTCAAAGCAGAGAAAACTCAAGGCTATGTTTCCTGACACATTCGCTGACTTTGATTTCAGCTGAACCATTATCTGTACTTTATTTACCTCCAGTCCAACTCAATAAGGGCAAAGCCAATCATTACATATAGGACAGTAACATTCTGTTTTCTTCAGCTGATATTGATCTACTCAAGCTGAAAGTACTGAATCATACTCTACAGAATGTGAGTCCCAGCAGCTCTATGCATCCTTCTTGCTCCACTGGAGAAAACAAAATGATTGTTAAAGTCATTGCTGCAAACTTAATCGGCATCTAAGGATTTTCTTCCCGTTTACCGGTTAGCCAGACAAATGGATTGTGTACGATTTGTTTAAATGTCTGCCTCTTTTAGACTTGAGAATAAAGTCCAATTACTGTTGTTTTTCTTTTAAGATGTTTTCTTTGTAAGTCAATGATTGACCCAAAAGCTACCAGATCAGATCAGTTTGTCAGTATACAAACATTATTTCAGTTTTTATCTTTAATCCTTTTTGCATATAGATACAGATCTAGTGTTGTGGTTTTTAGTGCATTATATTCCTCAATTTTCATTTCCTGATAATTTTTGGGCCATGTATCAGAGTCATGCTGCACAAAGTACATTTTTCTTTACTTCTTGCTTCTTCTAGCCATGGTTGTGCTGTTTCCAAAGAGGTGCAGGACTTTATATTGCAGTGAAAAATGAGCTCACAGTGAGTAAAAAGGGGACAGGAGCAAAAAAAAAACAAACCGGAAACTGCCTCGTGTTCAGACGGTTAAATGAATAACAAGTTTCACAAGTCACAAAAGCAAATCATTCGCCACCTTAAACTGTAACTTTGGTGGTTTGTTGTGGTGTTTCTATGAATTTTAATGGAGGCTTCTCCTGAGTTTTTCATCTCTAAGGCCGCTATTGATTTCCCTCAGCACAGCTTCTTTCTTTGTGGCCGCTAAGAGTGAAAAGACAAAGTTGACGCCACTCAGAACCAAAAACATGATGTGAGATTCTGATTTAGGAGGCTGTAGTTGACCGATCAAAGTTTTCACATAAGTTTTGTGTGTGTTTCAGAGGGTTCTCCGTTCAGCTGGTGGCGCGGTGGTTCGGGTCTGGGTCGAATCCAGACGTACTGGGGAGGAGCTCATCCAGGCAGCCAGCAGTGTGCCTGTGGCCTGCAGGGCGACTGTGTGGATCTACAGCACTACTGCAACTGTGATGCCGACCGCATGGAGTGGTACTGACCGCTATGAATACTCACAGATATTTATTTTTTAATCATCTTTTGGCTCCTTCAAATGTAAGCATCTTCTGTGAAATAGCCATAACTTGTCTGAACATGAAAACTGCTTTAAAAGGTAGAGAAAACAAACACACATCCACATTATTTTTAAAAAATGTAGAATATTTTTAATAAAAACATGACATTATTCAATGATCTGTCATAATATCCTGTAACAAAAACATGCAGAAAGTAAATAGTACAAGTTTGTCTTACAACAAACTTAGGACGTGCAAATACGAGTTTTAAGGTATTTTGTCAACTAAGCGCAACAACTTATTATTAAATATGGGAATGTTGTGTATCTGTGTTGTAAAGTGTGGGTGAATGAGTGAAGTGTGAGTGGGAGAAGTAAAGAAAATACCACAAACTAAAGTGCAAACCGTGTTAAATCCATCATAGCAGCTCAGCAGCGAAGAAAAGATGAAACTCTAAGACCCTGCAGCAATATCCACACGACCACACTATATAGCACCACAAGAAAGATTCAGTGCATCCCAATATATAGCACAACGAATGTACTACTTCATCTGGTCATTTTTGCAGGTTGCAAGTCAGCTTCCTTTTCTGGTCTGAGTGCACAGACAGATGTGAGCTCATTTTGCACGACAAACTGTGATGGTCAGAACTTAAGGCTTACAATGTTATTAGGAAGTAATATGTGTGCATACTAAATAAACAATACATACTTTGGAAGGGCAACTGGAATGCCCTTAAGCAAAAAAACTAAACTAAACTAAAAACTAAAAAGTGTGGTATTACCTACCTAAAATCTGTGTACTTTGATTTCAATGGTGTTACAATGTTTTTGCAGATAATTTTAATTAGAGCACAGGGTTTTGGTTTTGTGTGTTTTTTTAAATATCAGTAAAAACCGACAGATATATATAGTTTTGAAATATATGGATCATCATCTTGACTTTGTGTCCTTCGGTCAGTTACACAAGAAACAGTTCATCTTCATTACTGACTTTGTCTTAAAGTAGTAAATTAGTCAGATATGCTGTATATGACTAAACATACATTTTATTGTCTTGAGGGGAAAAAAAACCTGTACTGGGTAGATGGTATTAACTTTTTTTTTTTAACTTTCTATGACAATTTCAGCAGCAGGACCTCAAAAGAAAATTCCTGTGGAGCCGTTCTGTTAAAAAATAAATGGTTCGCGTTTAGCGATCAAATAGTCGTCTGACAGCTGAAAACCAGTCAGCACAATGATCAGCTCAGAAAGCAAAACCAGACTGGCTGAAGGAAATGGCAGAAATACTACTAGAAGCATGAGCTGACGTGGAATAATACACACATACATGTCTTCAGGTTTTACCTCTTGTTCCCGGATACCAAACATGACTGACAAGCCCTGCCTGACTTGTAACTTTGGCATTTTAGCAAACACCAAATCGACTGGGATAAATTGAGCAGAGGAAGAAACAAAAACAATTTTAACCTTTCCTCGTGTTGTTGGCAATCCTGCCATGCCTCACTTCCTTCCATCATTTCGCAGTCCAAACTGTTTGTGCAACGCCAACTCTATTTTTACAGACCGGAGCTGCCACTGCTGCTCCTCAATATTTCATCAGACTCGCTGCAGAGTGCTGTGTACACTCCTCGCTTCCAGTCCTGGATGTATTTTTACGCGCAACTTTCCTCCGCAAGAAGTCTAACAGGCAGATCATCTAAAGTGCATGAAGCTGAATGTGGGCGTAAATGGACAGGCGCTATCTTGTTTTGGGAGTAGCTGCTCCACAAACTGCCAGGGATCGAGTTTTGACTGACAGGACGGTTGTAATGTGGTTTTGAGATAAACAGGACCTCAAGAGATCGCACCTACACACTGCAGTGTTTGCATCAGCGAGTCACAGCGTGTAACATTGTCGCAGGAGTGATGCAATATTAAAAACATGCGCAGGAATAAATCTGTGCACAAAGATGAGTACAGTTTGTGGCTGATGACTGGAGTGTGTTTGTTTATCACTTCCTGCTTTCTCATCTTTTCTTCCTCCTTCCTTCTGATCTTACATTTGGTTTTTAATCTCTCCTTCATCTCCAGGACTGAAGACTCAGGCCTGCTCACCCATAAGGAGAGCCTCCCCGTCCGGTCCCTGGTGCTGGGTGACGTTCAGAGGCCGGGCTCTGAGGCTGCCTACAGGGTGGGGCCGCTCCGCTGCCGTGGAGACAGTAAGTTACGAAGGGCAGGAGCGTTCAGAGTGCAGCAGCTCATCTAAGATTTTACTCATCGGTTTTAAGGCCAGAAGGTGTAGAACTAAAATACTGACCCCTTATGAGCCTGTTGGCAGATCCTCAATCTGACTGTTCCAAAGTCAAAACTGAGCTCTAAAACTGGCTGAAGCAGCGTCTTCTTTCAAAAAAAACAAACAAACAAAAAAGCATTTTAATAGGCTGGCTTTAATTCCATTTTGGCCATTTATTTATTTATTTGTACGGCATGGTTGTTGCATTTATATATATAACATTGAGTAAGCTGAGGATAAACTTAGTGGTTGAGAGAAACTCTGCTCCTGCAGAGACTCCTGGCTCGTTGATTTGCTGAGAGAGAGCTGCTGGGAGGAGGAGGAGGAGATTTTAACCTCTGCAGGTCAGGTATCATACATGAGCAATTAGCACTGTTTGACAATGATTGCTCTCCTGGTTCTCCTGCAAAAAAAACACAAGAGACAGACACAGGGGAAGCATTTCTCTGCAACACATCACCCCTAAATGGACATTTTTGTCCGTCCAGCAAATTAGTCATTATTTTTTAAGTAAACTTCTAATTCAGCTGTCTGCAAACGCAGCCTGATATGATAAAAAGATGTGTTTTTAACATGTGAAACTCATTTTATTGCGTGTAGTTTCATACCCCTCCCCCGCCCCTTACCCGAGCCATCTCACATGTAATATTTAAATGCTGTAAAATGACATGCAAAAAACACAAAAAACACAAGAATCACACGAGAAATACGTCACAAGTGATGTTTCATTTATACACAATGGCATGATTTCCTGTAGAAAAAGAAGAAAGAAACAGGGCAACAGTCGGCTAGGCTCCATCTAATTGGCCAAAATTATAAAATTATTTTCTCCTGGGTTACATTTGTTTTTGACACATCCCAAAGACATTTTAAGTCAACATATCTTACTGTTTTATCATATTACTCTCAGTTTCAGCCAGTCAGTTATATATGAGATGGTATGGGACACCCTGGTAACCCAGAGAATAGAGGAGAAGCTTAAAACATATTGTGAAATTGTGTATTTTAACCAAAAACAAGGACTTTTTCTAAACCTAGCCCAGTAGTGTTGGTGCCACCACCTGTTCAAGGTGGTGAAGGCTTTGCGGCTCTGAAGGTGGAAACTAGTATCTTAGGTATAGATAATACATTTCTGTCCAAACTTGTAGTTATTTTTGTGAGACAGGCTGTCAAAATAAAATCCGCCTCCACGCATCAGATCTCATTTAACTTGTCAAACTTTAAGTAACGCGTACATGATGAATACACTTATCGTTAACTTTACCCATTTGTTCCTTTTCTGAAAGTATTTCTAATTATCTGTTCTGACACAAACGTCAAAGCAGTCATCGTTACTTTACACTGATGTCTTTATCTAATTACCTTAACAAGCTGCCTCGCTCGTGTGTGATGCGATTTCTATTTAAGGATCTTGATGGACAGTTTTTCTCGTGTTTCTCAGAGAACTTCTGGAACGCTGCGTTTTTCGACAAGGAGACGTCGTATCTCCACTTCCCCACCTTCCACGGAGAGCTGAGCGCAGACATCTCCTTCCTGTTTAAGACCACGGCCTCCTCCGGTGTGTTCCTGGAAAACCTGGGCATCAAAGACTTCATCCGCATCGAGCTGAGCTGTGAGTTACTGCAGGAGCTGAGGGGAAAACAGCGACTCTGAGTTAAACAAAGGAATGAATTTTACCGTTCTGAAATGTGACAGTAAGAGCTGTTCACATTTTTTCACTCTTCTATATGTAAAATAGTGTGCAGCCTGATATGATAACAGGAAACCCCGACCCCACATCAATTTGTGTCCCGTTTGTGTCTTCTTTTGCTGCTGCTTGCGCATTTCCAATACTTTATCCCTGCTTGAGGCCACATTGTTTGTCGTTCCCTGATCAGTTTGCTTCCCTCAGAGCCTGCAGCAGAATGCATTTCCCAGTTAAACACCTCGTCTGATGCTGACCCGCAGCCCTGCCTTCACCTCGCAACACACAAAATGTGATTAAACCCATAAACTCCTAATTACTGCGGCCGTTTTTTACACCCTCGTTCTTTAATTTTACAGTTGTATTATGAACTCTCGGGGGGCACTTTCACCCCGACCCTCCATTAATTCCTTCCTCCTGTGCGATGTAACATTTATGGGCAGCACAGCGGGTCATTTAGATTATGACAGTAATAACCAGCAGCGGCGCGTTATTTAGTTTATGGATGTCATCGAAGGGTGGCGGGTGTTAGATGTATGTTTACAGCCGACCATAGATTGAGTCATTTAAAATACGGCTGTATTACCCAACAAGGTGTCCTTGCACCTATATGGTTATGACACTACGAGGTACATATTTATGGGCAGCAATGGTGTGTGACGTTTGACTTGCGTGTCGGCCTTGAATCTGTTTTTGGAGTCATCCATGGCTGCCTTTCCAAGCTCCTTAACCTCACTTTACCTTTTCAGGTTGGTTTAGTTTTCTTGGCTTATATTTCATGTTCGTCGCATTTGGGAGGAAGTGTTTTTAAAGGCCACACACAGATTCTAATACAGGGACACCGACGGCGTCTCTCCTCGGGGAAATCATTGTCGCCGTGCTTGTTTGAGCTTCGAACACTTCGTTTCCAGCCGCCCCCCCAGATCGCTCTCCGACACCGAGGCCGGGCCCGAGAACAACCTCTAAATGAAGTTACAGCAGGATGCCGGGATTATTGTTCCATCTTGTTCTGTGCTCCCCCAGTAATACATCCTCGCTTTCCACCGGCAGAAACATGAATGATGGCGGTTTGCTTCGTCTGCATCCTCCTAAATCTTCTCCTGTTGGTTTAGAGAACAAAGAGCAGAGCTGACAGCCTGGAAGGAGTAAATACAGAGTAGAGTGAGCACCAAGGAGCTGAAGCAGAGGAAAACTCGTCCACTACACTGTAAAAATACTTAATTACAAGTCCTACTAGGGCAGCAGCATTCAGCATGTTACTGCTTTTACACTTAAAACTGGGGTATGGTGTGTTTTTTGTGGCAAAAATTCCATTAGAACCTTTCAGCACATTGTGATCCAGTTGGTCTGAGAGGAAACCAGACTTCTGCAGCTCATCTTGGCTCCATTTAGGACAATTAGATCTGAACAGTAATAATAATATAATTTGCTTATAAGATGCTAATTTGCTATTACTTAGTCAAAGTGTGTGCAGTATTAGCTTCAGTGTTTGGTTGGTTTTAATGTGCAATATTTCATTTTTCAGGTTGCAGTTTTGTATCGTGCAAAATTTCAGTATCATGTGTGATATTACCTACTGTTGTTCCTCATTATCATTGCTAGCATGGCTTTTTGTTGTTCTTATTCTAGCTTTAGTTTTTAGTCATGTACCGTACTTAGATGTTATTGCTTTTCTACGAGGCACTGCATTTACTCTCATGTTCTGTTTCTTGTTGTTTTCGCTGAGAAATATCTGACAAAAAACGTTTTATCTTCTCTTATTTCCAGGCTTTAAAAAAACAAATCAGGCCCATGACAGTAGATTTTTCAGCCAGATCATGTGAGAGTATAAAGAGCAACAGTCTGTGGCTGATCTAATGGGTTACATGAAGAAGCTTTTCTCAGAAACGTGGGGTTTGAATGTTAGGAGAGGTTAAAAGTGAATGTTAGCATTTATCTGGACTATTTCTGCAAGAATGTGAGCATATGCATGTGCTCATCTGGAGCGAGGGGCTTAGGACATAGAAGACAAAGGACAAGCAGCAGAACTAGAGCCACATGTTCAAATTCTGTCCATTTTTTGATCTGATTTCTGCCTACCCCAGTTTTAAACCTGCAGTGCGGAGCTTTAGTTCCCACCCTCAGGCAGGGAGAGTAATTACACAACCACTGTCAACACTTGCTTATCCCTCACCATTGATCCCTTTCTCATTTTTATTTTTTTTTACTTTAATCCTTCCTCTGAACACAGAGTTTGCTTTTTATCTGGAGCCATATTTCTAGTTGCTGTAGCCTAAACCTTCTCCATCACTGCCGCTGCTTCCCTCTTCATTTCTGACAAGCTAATCACTGCTAGTTGATGTGAAATGCGTCACTACCTGTCACAGGCTCCAGATTTAAAACTCTGGTATAATGCAAAACACAAAGAGATTCATGTGTCAGTGATTGTTTAATCAGCACGCTGTGAAGTCATTTGGCAAGCGCTCGAATGTTAGAGACGCTGATTAATATTTCAGATATTTCAAATTAACTACAGATGTAAAATGTGAAATATGGGTTTGCATGCTGTTAGTACAGTTGGGAAAATTGACTTTGTATGTTGCAGAAGTGTTTATTCTCTGAAGACTTTGAGATTAATTGTGATGAATCAGATCCATTTTAGAAGTCATGCAGCTTGAAGAAAAGGATCAGTGAATATCAGTTGCTGACCTCAGTACAAGACTGATTTACACATACGTTGTGGCCTTTGTCATTCAGCATGTTCTGAAATGCCTCAGCTATTGTTCAACACAATGGCACATCAGAATGAAGCCCTATGGTCATCACCAAATCAATGCTACAATGTCCTGGCTCCCTTAAAGACCATATTTAGTAGATCCACCTTTAGCAGAAATTACAGCCTTCAGCCTACACAGGTTCTACGCTGTTATTTTGCCCATTTTCCTTTAAAAAGAACTTGTCAAGCTCAATCAGGTTGCACGATTATTTGTAAAAGGAGCAGTCTTTTTCAAACCCATCCTAAATGTTCTGATTGGACGAATCTCTTTTTGTGCCACTCCAGGACTGCAGACATCAGGTTTTTCTTGCAGGATGTATTTTGCTGCAGCCCTCGAACCTCACAAACACTCCTGGGTCTAGCTGCAGAGAAACACCCACCTCTGGTTATTTATCAGCACTAAATAAGAAATATTACACAAGCGAGTGTCCCGACATGAAAAATAAAACAACACAGAAACAGTGCAACAGTGGTCGACTGCACAGTCTGATATTTTATAAATCAGAATGCTGCATATGTCATGTGTCCTCACCACTGAGAAGATGTTTTTGAGTAATTATCCATTTTTTTGCTCAAGGTCTTTTTATTGAACGTGCAAAAAAATAAAAAACAAAAAATAAAAAATGCAACACATCACAGATGCAGTTGGATAAACACAACTGCATCTGTATATATATATATTCCCAACTCATGTTTCTGCTCCACACCATTACAGTATTATTGCACCATTTAGTTGTCCGGCCTAATTGATTTTATAAACAATAACATGTATTTATGAGTTGTTTCAGTGTGTCCAAAATAAAATAAATAAAATAAATGAAAAAAATGTAAAGAAAAAAATAGTAGTATAAATACAAAAAAAATTAAAATAAAATGTAAAAATTACAAATAAATGAATGGATATAATATGGAGTCCATAATGCTGAATTTAAAAATATTTGACATATGGCACAACATGTGTGAGCACAGCCTCAGTGAGCCGGGATTTTTTACTTCCATTTAAGCAGCACAAGATTGCTCAATTTTTACAGTATCATTAAAAGTTTAAGCACCAGAAGCCCTTTAGGAGAATCTGAACCTTCCTGTTTTATTTTAATAATCCCTTGTTCTGTAAAGTTGCTTTTATGACTTCTAAAATATTCTTTATTGCTGAGTGATGCGACATGAAAAAATAAAAGAATCAGACGATGGTTTAATTGTTTCAGCAGCACATAACCTCAATTTGCTTCGTCTCTGGTTTGTTATCCTGCAAGAACTTCTCATTTTCCTCACTTAGAAGCTCTGCTGGGTTCAGTGTTGCTGTTTGTTGTTGAACAGTAATTAAGCTTCATTCCGGTGAGCTCTGTTTCTCCTCCTGTCTGCCTGTTTTGTCTCCGTACTCTTGGGTGAAGCCTGCCTGCTTGTTAAAGCTGCCGTCTGCATTCCCACATGTGGTATTGGCAGCTTTCTGACTGACTCTGGAAGCTGCGTGGAAACATGCAGCTGTGATTGAGAACTGATTCCAGCTGCACTTGGCAGGAAAACACCTGTCTCCTCAAACTAAATCCCCAACAGAGGTTTCTGCAGCGATTCACCCCATTCGCTTTAATTGAGACGTAGTGAATGTGCCCCGTTTGCATAAATTAAATGCTGCTGTTTGATGTGATGCTTTCTGACTCTATAAGAAGAAGTGATGAGTGGAAACTTCTCAATTGAATGAGAACCAAATTTTTACTTATTTTTAGTATATCTCTATTTGTAGTCATGTTTGGTGTTTCAAACTTGAAATTTCACAATATTTTTTTGCCTATAACCAAAAAACAAGTAACAGATGCTTTCATCTTGTGTGAGTCGTTCAACAAGAATTCAAATATATGTTTAGAAAATGCTTCACCAGGCATGCAGCAGGGTCATTTCATGGTATTTGTGGCCAAAACTTAAGCAACATGCAATTATAACACTTCATTCATTACGTTCCCGTCTCTCTGTTCGTCTCCTTCAAGCCTCCACTCAGGTGCTTTTCTCCTTCGATGTGGGTAACGGACCGCTGGAGGTTCTCGTGGAGTCCAGCGACCCGCTCAATGACAACCGGTGGCACCGAGTCCGGGCCGAGCGGAACGTCAAGGAGGCGTCACTTCGACTGGACGACCTTCCTGTCGCCACGCAGGAGGCTCCTGCTGACGGACACTTCCACCTGCAGCTCAACAGCCAGCTCTTCATCGGTGAGGAGCGTTTGTTGTTGATTCATACTTGACGTACAAACATGTGAGTTTAACTTCTCTTCCCATTTGTCTCAGTTCTGGCTGATTTGAGACCCTTTTTTCTGGGACTGTCAGAAATCAACCTTCAACTTATTTCCAGAAATACTTGCTTTGTTTCTAAGATCTCATTGTTTCAGTCTCTGCAGATCTTTCAGCAGCATGATTGCAGGAATTTAGTCAAATTATTTCGTTTTGCTTTTTTCTGACATTCCTTTCTAAGGTTCCCACCAACAGGGCTTTTATTAAACATAGACAAGTACAGCGTTGTGTCTTGTAACTCAAAGCTTTTTTGAAGAATAGCTCATCTGCATTCGGTCATTCCATCCCAGCAGTACAGTTATTGCAAATGTTCCACGTCAGGTTTATTTACTGGCAGATCTCCAAAGAATTTACACAGACAATAATAAAAAAAATAAATACAGTAAACACCTTCATGTTTGCATTCACAGTTTCTCACCAAAATCCGCTGTGTGCATCCTAAAGGCCCAAGTTGAATAAACAAAACAGTTGCAGAGCTGAAACTGTTTGCTTCCTCGCAGTCTCCTTGATCCTTCCCTCAGCACCTTACTGATGCCAAATGCTCATTAGAAAAGCTTCAGACTTGGACTCCAGCAAATCACCTGCATGTTGACAAACCAAACGGGGACTTGGCCACATTTTGAGTCGCTGTAGGCCCCTTTTTAACTGCGATTTAAAGAAATGCACCTCTATAGAAACAACACAACTAGACTAGAAGTACAGAGACCTGAGGCATGTTTTTTTTGGACAGGAAATTTCTGAGTTCAGAGGGTTAAAAACATTGACCCTTCAAATGGTCAAAAACTTCACTTGGTATCTTTTATTTTATTTTTTAGAGTTTACAAAAAGCTGAGTAGTTCTGACTCATCAATATTCAGTCACAGCAGGACCGTTATGTTTGGTCTGGAAAGAGAACAGAACGTTAACGCAGGCGAATGCGGATGAGGTTTCCCAGCTACACCAACAGAAACCCTCTGAGCAAACAAGAAAGATGTCAATAATTTGTGATATTTGAAAGTTAAGTTAGAAAAAGTTGAGCTAGAATTCGATGCTGATAATCGTGCTGTGAAGATACGAACCATTTTTCTGTTGGATCATAAGAGAAGAGATGAACTGAAGCAATTTTTCTCTGTAGCGTTCAATCAGGTGCTCCCGTTCACTTTCTGCTTCTTCCTGCTTTCATTAAAACCACTGTGAGGTTTTCACATGTGCTGAGCTGTGAGTGACTAATTTGCGTTTATTGGTTTTGAACATGGAGGATTCCAATTAGACACACAAAGTTTCTCCCTCTGCTTCTACCTCCATCACCAAACCTGACATTCAAAGACATGTTTTCTTATAAATCCTTAGAAAAAGCCTAAAAATATCCTCCTCTTCCAGCTCTTGGCGGCTAAATCGTGTTGTTGCTCAGCCGTACTGGATGTAATAACGTGCTGCATGTGCACAGCGATTCTACAAGGCTTCTGCTACATTTCCATCCTGATCGACTGCCATCCAAAGATAGTTCACTTACCAGGCCTGATCTTGTCCTACATCCTGTACAAGGAGCAGAAATATTAAGTGCTAAACTACTATTGACCAAATGCCAGCAGCTCTGAGAATAAAAGTGCTGAGACGATGGTTTCTGACCACCGAACAATAACCATGTTCAATAAATAAGCGCGAGCAGGGAGCTGTGGTATAACATACGGTGTACTCAGTCTTAATAATCTATAAGTGAACCTGTGATTTATTTATTCGGCGGTCATGTGAATGAACTATTAGCTCACTGCAGCCATGTTCGGTTGTGAAATCTCCATTTGACCTCCGAGCCTGTTTGTAGATCTGCAGGGGAGAGAGAAAAAAAATAAAAAATCCATCAATTATTATCTTGGTTTTATGGTTTTATCATTCTGTAAATATTATGCATGTCACATCGTATCAGTGAACACACACTGGAAGGAAAACAAGCCAGCAAACATTGATGAGATCGGACGAAGGCAGCAGCAGCAGCAGCGGCAGGGAAATAGAGGTGAATATTGATTTGCTCTGTGTGTTAAGCCGATAATCCACTCTGAATAGCCGACGGGTCGCCACCGTCGGCCTAAAAACTCATATGTTTACCTCGGAATTATCAGCAAAGTACACTGGAACAAGTGCGATGGATTGTGTGCGTTTGATTGGAAATGTGCTGGTGCAGCTTCCTGGAATGAATTTGTGTAAAAATATTTGACTTGCTGCTCTTTAGTCGAGTAAAAATTAATAATCGGTTGTGTCCTTCGGGAAGCCATTTAGTGCAGCGAGTGCATGCCTGAAATGTAAATGTAAAGCACACAATATACGTATTAATAAGCATTCGTATCAGCTCAGCATGCATGCAATCATAAACACTGCTGTGCGGTTTTGTGCAGCTTATTTATGAGTCATAATCCTGCCTTCGACAACAAAAAAAATGTTTGCATTTCTAATCCTTGTATGCCTTTTCAATACATCATCACATGCAGAGCACAGATTTATTAGCCCCTCTACTTAGTTATACGAATTAATAAGGGGGACAGAGATGTATTCTTTAAATTCAGAAGCAATAATTCCATAAGCAGTGTATTTATGAGCCTTAATTATTCCTCACAGGGATTTATAAGGCAGCAAATTACATTGTTTCGATTAACAACCCATGTTATTGCCTTGGATAAGCCATAGGATTGCTTTTCCACATTCTTTATTACCATTTGTAGGTGTAAAATATCCACACGCAGCACTTTCTAGTGAAAGATTTTTGCATTCCTTGCAGGTAGTATTTCACATTACTTGTTGTATTGCCTGCTTTGGACAGATAAGCCTGTAGTTTATTGGTGCTGCATCGGCATCACTGAGTCCATATGTTTTGCACTTGGCGTGGCGCTTTTTCACACGGAAGCTGTGTTTAACAGAAAACTGGAAGTAATCAGCTCACATTTGTTCATCTAGCCGTACTTACTAATGCACAGATGTCGTATGTTCCCATGTTTTCCTGCAACAGACACTGAACTTGCTGTGCTACTAAAAAAAATATGCAATATGATGCAAAATTCAGTCCGGCTAACTAAGGGGGTCCGTTTTTTCAGGGGTTTTTTTTGTTTGTTTTTTTTGATTAAGTTATATTTTAATCAGAAATGCAGTTTCCCCTCAATGCAGTTTGTGCTTTTAGGTGATTTGCTGCATTTCTGTGTTGCTATTTTGTAAGTTCTTGATTTATTGCTGCAACAATGGTTTTATGCTAAATGCTAATATCTGATTGTTAACATATTAACAATAGCAAGGATAATATGGTGATGATCTGAAGATTCACATTTTCCCTCTTTGTTTAGAGTATTTACATCGTAGCTAATCATTAGCTAATTAGCGCTAAATACAAAATAAAGCTGAGACTGGTGGACATTTCTACGACCTAATTTTCTCGTTATCTCGGGATAACAGGATTCGTTTTCTCGTGAAAACCAGATAATTGGTGTTTGTGTTTGCCCGCTCGTGCCCGGTCCAGGATGGAATCCCAGGTGTGTGGGACGTCCCACACACCTGGGATTCCATCCTCAGTCACCAGCAGGGGGCCGGAGGACAGACGAGACCGGGCACGAGTGCTTCATTGTAAGTTGTGGTGCCCGGTCAGCTGTTCTCATGACACGTCATGTCCGAGTTCCTGGTCAGCTGTCTATATAAGATACGTCACACCAGGAAGTCCAACAACTTCTGATGAAGGCTGAAGTGACAGCCCAAACTGTCAACGGGATAATTATCTTGTTTTCTCGAGATAACGAGATAATTAAAATGCCGTTTTAAAAAATGTGCGGCCATGACTGCTCTCGGCTTCCGTACATTTCATTAGTTTTGCAGGCGTTTGATTCGGTGCAACTCTGACCAATGGTTCAAGAAGAAAAATTGTGAGGATTATCAAAGTTACTGCAATTTATCCTGCTGTGGAAACGAATGTTTGCACCAAATTTCATGTCAGTCCATCCAAAAGTTATTGAGAATTTTCCCTCAGAACCACACTCAGGAGATTAGCAAAGGATTTACGGATCGTTAGGATTCCTCGTGTAAGAACATGCACGCAATGTCATGGCAATCCGAAACAACGCTTGGTGAGATATTTGGAGCTTGACCAAAGTTTTGAAACGACCATCAAACTGACATTATTGTAATCATTAACTTGATCTCTACCTCACAAATCTATGCCAGGTGACCCCATCCTGTGTGCTTTACTGCATTGTTTGTTGATTTCTTTGTTGAAGCTGCCGTTTCTTCCCACTCAGAGCAGAGGTTTTTCTCTCTGTCTGACTTCTGAGTTCAGTCTCTCTTTCTAGACTTTCTTCAGGTCGAGGTTCTTTGTATTTTGAGCCAAGTACGCTGCCTTTGATGATTTCTTTGATCTCCATTTCTCTAATTGTTTCTCCATTCGCTCCCCTGTGGTCTCGTACTGTATGCTTTGGCTGCAGAGCCTCCTGCTCTCACTGTGGGATCTTGTGAAAAGACGCTGCAGCTGCCTTGTTAGAGCTGAACTTGTACGTGATGTTGAAATTCTCACTGATCTCGAAGGTCTCGCCGATGCTCCTTCGGTCAGAGGTGGAGTTTATCTGCATTTGGCTTTTTTGATCTTTGCTTTGATCTTAAGGCCACAAATCCTTGATGATACCTTATATAAATGATCCTACAGTTCCTGATGTGATTCCTGTAATTCCTGGACATCTGGTTGAAGCTCTCAGTAGAAAGGCAGAGCTGTGTAATTACACAGCTTTCTACACATGTTTAAGGTTTCAAGTTTTAAGTTTTGACTCTTTGCACAGAAGCCAACTTCGACAAACTGGCCTCGCGTTTCAATTAATTTATTGTTTTCGTTGTTGTCCTTGAATAATGTGACAGGTTGAAAGCCAACAGTTGTTTTCTTCTGCCACCTGTGGACACGTTGTCCTGGAGCAAAAAAGCCAACTCAAAAGGTGTCTCCTCCATTTTTTTTTTGATTGCTTCCACATTTGAGTTTTTGTGGAGAGTGATTTAGGGCTTTATGGGATACTGTTATGCTCCAAAATGGGAGTTCTGCACCTTGTTTTTGGGTGAGGCTGAGAAATTTTTGAAGTACCCTCGTATTATATTCAAATTGGAAAGGATTTCCAGACAAAGTTGGGTGAATCATTTTGTCTACTGTAGCATTAAGAGACTTCGTAAAAGGAAGCTAACAAACCCAGACCGTGAAAATAGCTCCAAACCAAAAAGATGCCAACCAGCTACAACACCAAACCTAATATCTTCTGACCCACTGGGCCGAAGACCTCTGGGGTTATCTTGTGGTGTCTGGCATCTGCTTTGGGCAGCAAAGTGGGGGCCTCCGTGTATTAAGCTTGTTCCATACATCCCATGTGCTCAGTCACAATGGGATCTGGGAGCTGGATGAACACTTTGAGCTTTGTTGTGTTTGTCATTTCTGATCAGTTTTTGCTGCTCGGGGAGGCTGCTGCCATCCAGGAGGACCTTTTTCATGTGCTTGGTCTGCAACAGTTGTGTTTGAGTGTCCACTATATAAAAATGTTTAAAAAATAAATAAATAAAAAGGATAAAAAATGACTTTATTATATGAGCTTCCAGCCTCTAATTGGATTAAATATACATTCACATATTCTGTTCTTGGATATTTCTGTTAATACCAAACTAATTAAATCCTGGCTTCACGTTGCATCTTTAGTCTGTAATTCTTTATTCCACAAATAGTTTAGTGTGAAGATGTCTGGATTTTTTAATTATTGTCTCAGATTTAATGCAATTGTCTCTCTGATCTTCCAGCTTCAGTTCCCACACGGATATCAGATTTTGTCAGGAAATGAAAATACGAGTTCATTACAGCTCCTAATATTACTAATTGAAAATTATGTTCCACCAGGACAGATTGTAGTTTCTGACGAGGTGCACACGTTTTCTCAGTATCATCAGATTTTTTTTTTATGCAATTAGTGAATCTCTTTTCCTTATCGTGTCATTTCGAAAAGCTTTGAGGAAACATTTACCTCTGCACTGTTGTTGCTCTGGCGACGTCCAACTTATTTCCGTCATGTACAGTTTGTGGCTTGTGTCAGAGCAGAGAGGAGTCTAACGGAGTTCTGTGATTTATTGGACTGAAAAGCTCCTGCTGCTGAACAGTGGGAAGTTGTCAGCTTTGAATATGGAGAGCAAAGTGCTGCCTTGTCTGAACTCTGATGGCGAGAACAATTTCAACCTGTGATCTTTGCAGAAGTGACAGTTTGTCAGGTTTGAACTCGTGGCTGCGCCGTCACATATGAAAGGATGAGATGGTTGCATGCGTGCAAACGTGGACCCGCATTTTGAATGCCTGTAGAACGTTCCACTTCAAGGCTTCTAAGAAAAAAACTGATTATAAGAAAAAAAGTGACAAATTACAAGCGAGGTGGTGGAGGGAAAAAAACATGAGCGAGGTAAAAAAAAAAAAAAGTGTCAGATCAGAAAGAAAATCTGCAGTGTGACCAGACGCACATTCAGACAGCGATTCATGAAGGCTGCCAGACACCTAGTTAGCCAGTCAGCAGCTGGAATGATGCTATACAGACTTACAGACAGCTGATGAATGTCATGTCCCTGAATCAGCCTTCCACCTACAGCTTGTTGCCTCATTGCTTTTTCATCGTTGTTTCATTTCACGAGAACAGTGCTGACAGTTTGGAGCTCGGGGGGGAGCAGAGGCGACATGTGGATCTGTTGTGGATGACAGGAGGAGGAGAAATGAAAACCCAGCGAGAAGGAAAACACACAGCCTTGTCAACACACATAGAAATAAAAGAAAGGCTTGTGCAACCAAGACAGGAATATATGTTGCGTCTTTGTTCTTGGAGAGCGACTTTCTTTGCTCCTGATTGCTTTTGAGCTCAGCAATGTAGTGATTTTAACCACACAGAAAGTCAAGTTTTTTTTACATCTCTACACAGAAAATAAAAATGTCTTTGCTTTCCAGGCGGCACAGCGTCCAGGCAGAAGGGTTTCCGAGGCTGTATTCGCTCTCTGCAGCTGAACGGCGTCACCCTGGACCTGGAGGAGAGAGCCAAGATCACCCCCGGTGTTCAACCCGGCTGCCCGGGTCACTGCAGCAGCTACGGGTCGCTCTGCCAGAACCAGGGCCGCTGTGTGGAGAGAACCAACGGCTTCCACTGTGACTGCGGCCTGTCGGCGTACACTGGAGTCTTCTGCCAGACAGGTAACACTGTAGAGATGCAGCTGGTCTGCTGGGTAAAGAGGAGCAACATAAAATATGTTGTCCTTGGTTTACTAAAGTTATTTATTGTTTTGTAATACAACGGACAAGCAGAGGAGGCAAAACAGCCAAAGAAAACAGGGCCTCTGAGTGCTGCTAAATCAATGACAGAAATCAAAAGAAATGAGGGCTAACAGCAACTTAACCATCTCACCAAACTGAAATACAAAAGCAGCAGCAGCATCCCTGTACCTCGTGTACCAAACAGAAGAATTCCTAAACCAAAGCTCCAGTGTGATGAAAATTGAATTTTATTGTGTTTTTTGTATGTTTGAAAAACTTCACGGTGTTGTTGAGTTGCTACGTAGGAACTGAGGAACCAGTTAGTGTAATTAGTGTCATCCTGACCGCTGGCTGTCGACTGTATCCAGGTGAGCCATTCCTAAAGAGCAGCTCTCTCATCCCACCAGCTTTGGTAACTTTCTAGAGCTGCTACTGCGAAAATGTCAGCAAAGGAGTCTTCATGAACTCCCGTCATTCAAGGGATTGAACAGCCAGTGAATTGCTTTTATTATTGATTGCAGTTGCACCACAGCAAGAGGAAAATCCTTAGTTTTAGCACATGGCATGGCTGACTTTGCCATTAGCTTTGATCGTATGGCCACAGATGAGGGCTGTATGAAAGCTGGTGGAGTCTTTTTTGTGGCCTGTTGTGCTTCAGTTCAACCTGAGCTCAACCAGTGTTCACATTTGTTTGCCTCTCTCCTGCTCTCGGTGCTCACTCTGCATTTTAATACAGCCACATTCCCAGTGAAGCTGTTCTCATTTAGATATTTATCAGTTTTTGCTGTCAGACAACAGTACAAGTTTGAAATAGTGACTGAAACTCAGCCCATTAAAACCACGTGTTCACCAGTCGTCACTTCAGAGCCATTTCTCAAACTGCCGCTCTGCATCACTAAACTAGTGATTTTATAACCACAACGTTGTCTGACAAACTCACTGTACACATGGGTTATAAGTCAGATCAGTTTAGATCAGGGCTGAAACCAGGGGTTAGAACAGTCAGGGTTAAATGAACCACCTCTGCAGTATCTTCAAAAAATAAAAAAATGAAAAAAATTCTAAAGACTTTATGTGGACATTTCATTGCTTTGCTGAAAAAGGACTCAATATGTGGGTGTAATGGAAAAGCTAAGCCTGGTCCTGTCAAGGCATTCAAACAAGTGCTTCATTACACAAATTAGAGCTCTAAGCTCTGAGTATCTGCTCATAAGTGGCTAAGAAACATAAAGACGAGTAACCACCAGCTCACAGATACAGAAAAGCACAAGGCCACTAGCAAGAGTCACAGAATCACAAAGACTCCTCAAGGACAACCAGAGGCAGAGAGAGAGAGCTGCTCACGCTAAATCACAGACAGACAAAACTGACAGGTGAGGTGCAATTTTAAATCCAGGTGTAGTGATTGGTGCAACCTGATTGGAGCACAGGACTGGTCAGTGGTCCCATCAGCAGCAAGGACAGGTAGGGAGAGGACTGAAGAGTGGAGCTTCATTCCAATCAGCCCAGTTGACAGGCAGGAGATGGAGAATGCACAAGAACAAGAACAAATCAATCGACATAATGTAACAGCATCATGAAGGGTTCAAGGCCGCGTTGTGCTGCAACAGCAGGATGCTCGTGTCAAGGCTGCGTTCCAGGTTGCATTCATTTCCTTTGTCTTTAACGTACAAATCGCACTACACTTGCTCTTACAAAGTATGTACTGCTACACCTGGGACATACTACACTGTCACATTATTGCACCTTAATCCTTAACTGTGTTGGAGGCTGAGGCTTGTGTATGCTCTCACGAGACACCACAACATATTTGATGGAACTGTAGGAGATCGTGGGTCAGAAAAGCTGAACATCCAACCTCCATAGTGGGACATCCGGGTATTTTTGGCATACTACATTTGATGTACTATGTGTTGGGACATATTAAATAGTTTTATTAATATTTTGTGTACTTGAACATCACCCCAAGTCTGAAACTCTTCATCCTTCACTACGTCACAGCTTGGCTCCTTAACTTGGACTAACTTTCTAAATTAGGGAAAATTACAACAAAATAAAATAATTACAAACAAATATGCATGAAAAATCTGTAAAGTCAGTAGTGTAGGAAGTGGATGCACAAAAATGTCCTGTATGAATGCATACAATGTTAGTGATATGTGATCAGAGGAGGTCTCGCAAGGCTGACTGTTGCTCAGATTTATAGAAACAGGAAACAACAAGCCCAGGTGCTGTCACACTGAGGTATCTTTTGTATTTAAAAGGTTTATTTCAAAAGAAAATGTTTAATTTTTAAAGTTTCCACATGTATAAAACCCACAACAGCAAGCTGCAGAAAGGGTTTCCATTTTGTCAACAAAGTTTTCACTCTCTTTATGAAGCTGAAGCCACTAAAGGGTTTTCCTTCCATCATATTTTCCTTTGGCTAAAACAACATTAATGGTGCCGCCTGCCTTGACCTCCCTCTAGGAAACCCATCTGAACACTTTCCAACATGCTGCATGGTGCCACTCTGAGCCTCCACCTCCTCCCCTCTGCTTTAACATCTACTTTCATTAGCTCATATGTCTCACCAGCCAAGGTTAAAGCTGTTGTTATGTGTCGGCCTCCTTTAGCAGCAGAATGAAGGAGTTCAATCAGGAGACTGTTCAAGCGGAGACCTTCAGTCTGAGGATCAACTCTTGTGTCTGCATCTCCATAAAGACGATGCCTAATGAGTTGGTTGCAGCAGACAATTGTTTTCACAGGACTCTAGTAGGATAAATTCTTCAATACACTTTACAAGACTAAAGGATAAAAATACAAGAATGATTAAACACAAGAAGACAAAGACAGTTGTTTAGAACCTCACTGAGAGGATGTTTAAGGCTGGATTCACACTACAGTAGTGTTAAAATCCTAACAGACTGTGACATTAGGTTGCATTACACACATAAGGAGAAGATTCTCTCTTTATTCTTAGACATGCACACAAGATGTTAGAAGGATGGCACATCACACACTACAGGACGTTACATTTATGGTGCCAGAGGGAGCAGTCAGGAGGCAGAGCACTGCCTCATGGGAAAGCAGATGTAGAAAAAATGGAGACTGTAGTGCAACAACTTGGTGGAAAGCTAAAAAATATAAAAAGCAAACAAAAGCTGGAGGATAAACGGTTCTGGATGACGTTGGAGGACTCTGGGGGAATTTGGTTTTAATATCTGTAACTTTAGCCTCAGGGGCTGAAATGATTAGCACTGCTTGGCAACAACAATCATTATGACTATAGCCGGCCAGATTTAAACTTCTAAATATCAAACATGTTTGATATAATCAGGGCAGCCATGATGAGTCTGTGAGAAGTTCAAGAGGTCTCAGATTGGATCTGTAAGCATTATCACATATTTTTGGTTTTGTAGATATTTTTGTTAGATAATTTAATATATATTCCCGAAGTTCAAGAAGAAGTCTTCTTTTGAGTCTTCTTAAAAGATTTATTTAAGGAGCACCCTTCACCCTTAGTTCCTCATTTTTGTGTTCTGTTAAAATGCCCAACTCTCACTAAATCCCCTAGCTGTTCACTCTGGCCAAACAGCGTCCATCTGCTGTTTTTGTTAATCCTAGTTTAGCCCAGACAGCTGGGTTGTAGCAGCAGGCAACAGGTTTCAATGAGCAAAGCAAGGTATACAAGCTAAAGTCCAAATGATCTGACACAAACCCACATGTGAAGGTTTGCAAAAAAAATAAAAATCCAGGCAGCCAACAAAAGTTTTTGGACAACCAAAAGTACAAAAAAGAGGTGATGAGACACAGGTGGTCCAAGCAGAGCGAACAATCACACAACAGCCAGAGATAAACATTTAAAACGACAAATAGCCAAAAGTATAACAGTAAAAATTGACTTTGTTTCACCGAAACCATTTCTGCTTTTACTGCACTTATCGCTCATTAAGAAGTACTTAGCTGCCCCACAGCATCAAAGCTTTCATGCAATGAGTCTCTGGAGTCTTTATAATTCATTCGTTTGATGTTACACTCGTTGCATTAAGACAACGTCATCACATTGATCTTCACGTCTGGGCTCAACAATGTCAGTGAGTGCAGCACCTTTAAAGAGGAATCTTCCTCCTCCTCCTCCTCCTCCTCCAGCTGCTGTATCTACTGCACTGATCTGCATCTGAGTGTGATTTTACTGCTTTGATGAATATTGCACTGATGCAGTTGTGTTTAAAGTTGCTGAGAAACTGAGTTGAACTTTTCTTTTTGTGATATTTTGAGAGGGGCCTCGTGCTCTTTTGCAACATAATTGGGCTACACAAAGTTATTCAACGACCTTGGGCAATTTATTCTAATATTGAAAACGACAACTTACTGTAAATACATTAATAGGTCTTTGCCAGGAAAACAATTATCCTCCTCCTGGTCATATTGAATCACTATTGAGGTAAAAGAAAAACAAAAGGGATGCTGCAAAGTGAAATAAATGGTCGTCATGTGGGGAAATAGGTCGATGACTCCACTTTACAACAAATCTATCAGTGAAACAAAACTGAAATAATAATGGTGGTAAAAGGTTTTCCAGCCATTAGGCCAATGAATCACAGCAACACTTTAATCCTGCTGAGGTTCAGTTCTTGCTGTGAAACTAATCCTGAACTTTACAAGAGTTGAACACAATATTATAATAAATATACAAAATCCCTGCTCTAAAAAGCATCCTGCTGAAGCTTTTAAAGTTCTTTTTTTTTTTGTTGAGACCCTCAGAGAGATGCGGATTTTTCTGAACGGTCCGAACTGTGACGCTGTCGGTTTTGGTTCTTTTGAATTGGATTTAATTTATTTACAAGTGTTCATGCTGTTTTTGTCCCACCTTTGGAGCGGTAGCTTGTAACACAAATTATTGGACTGAAACACACAGTGTACCTAATCATACAACAATTAATTTACCAGTTAAATCTTTACAAAGTCCTGCAGCATAGAAACCCAAATGTTAGTCCAATGTTTTAACATATCTGACTGAATTTACTAAAAAAGAACAAACAAACAGGATACCGTGCTCCTAAAACACCAGATTATCCAACCAAATGCTCAAAACCACAAATGGCACACAATCAAATACAGCTCTTTAAAAAATTTGTTTAACTTTTATTCACTAAAATTGAGCTAATGCCAAAAATAATGCAAAGTGTTTTTGATGCTTGGAACATTTTCATAATTGTTTAATCTGTATGAAAGATGTACATTTCGGCATTGTGTTGAGTGGTGAATATTCCTTTTCTGCAAGCTGAGAGATTTTGTCAGCCAGTGTTTTGGTAAAGTTCCAGGTATTCACAGTGTCATCTGTAGATGTCTTCTAATGCAGCCTCATATCACACTAACCTCCGTGCTTCACTGTCAGGACTGTGCATTCACTTTGGTAGTCCTCATCAGGCTCATACCAAACATGCTGGACTCCATCTAAGCTCTCATCTGATGACCAATAATGAGATCAGCATATTCATCAGGCAACTTTTGATGGTCTTTAGCAAAGCTTAATCCCGCAGCTTTGTGCAAAAGAGCAAGCAGTTCCTTTTTCCTTGGATGCCATCCAGCTACAGAGGTCACCTGCTGGAAGAAATCAAATGAGTACTTTTTCCTTCCTATGTTTATTTATGGGAAATTCTCTCTGGGTCTGTCACATAGCTGCAGGTGACGGCGCCCTATATACCAACCTGGTGTTTTGTTAACATTTTTAACAAACAAGGAAAAAGAACTTTTGAAAACTTGAGAAATCTGTCATTTGTCTTTAGAGATTCACAGGAATCCAAAGGGAGCCATAAGAGGAGAAGTACAAGACTCTTGAGGTTCCTTTCTTTTTCTTATTTTGCTAAATAAAAGTCTGTACTGAAACCTTGCTGTGGCTGTCCGTCTCCCTCCAGAGGTGTCGGCCAGCTTCAAATCGGGAACATCCGTCAGCTACACCTTCAAGGAGCCCTACGAGCTGAGCAGGAACAGCAGCGCTCTGCCGTCCTCCATCTACTCTGACATGACGCTGAGAGGAGAGAACGTCTCGCTGAGCTTCAGGACGAACCAGAGTCCTGCTCTGCTGCTCTACGTCAGCTCCTACTACAGAGAGTACCTGGCCCTGCTCATCAACAAGCACGGTGAGCGGGACGCAAGGCTTTTATTTTGAAGGAGTTTGTTTAAAATATTTTAATTTGCCTCCTCCTCTTCTTCCTGCAAGTGTTTTTTTTCAACAAGATGGCATAAGCAACAAATTGATCCGTCTGTTTCTCTCCATCATGTCCTTTTCACGTCCTGTTACGTCCTCTGAGTAATTCGGACTTTAGGTTGAACATCCTCTAATAATTCATAAAACCTTCTTATGAGCCTCTTGTCATGTTTACCTCCTTCAAGCCTCTCAACACCCTTTCTTGGTAATTATCTCTCTTCACTTCTGTTATTTCCTTCATACTGATCACCATTTTTGTTCACATTTTTGTGTGCAAAACCTACTCATGGGTTGCACAACGTCCGTCTTTGAACTCGGACGTAATTTTAGACCTCAGCTACACAACTGCAAACTTTCAAACCAGCATGTTGCTATTGTGTTGAAAAAAATCTGCTCACAGACAGACACATGGCATCAAACAGAAGTGGGTACATTACCTATGTGAAAAACACAGGGCCTGCAGTAGAAAGTCAATGCAACAAAGGTCTACACACTTTTCATGATGCATATTCAAATGTTAATGTCTCAGGATGCCAGCTTTGCTTAAATTAAATTTCGACGTTGTGCTTTGAAGCGTTATCATGCTAGAATATTCCTTTGCTGCTCAGCTTCTGCAGACTGTGAATCATCTCGTCAGCCAGTATTTTGCTGTAGTAACAGGTTTTCATGGCTCCATCTGTTGATGTCGTCTCTTATGGCACCATGTCATCACACTCCCATATCTGTGCTTCACTGTCAGGACCGTGCATTCACTGTGGGAGACCTTGTCAGATTCATAACAAAACATCCTGGACCACATCTGAGCTGAACAAATTGTGTTGGTCTTATCTGACAGAATATTTATCAGGCTTATTTTTGTGTTCTTTAGCAAAACCTGATCATGTAGGAGAACAAGCCATAGGTTTTTTTTCTTGGACACTGCCCAGAGAGGCTTCCATCGTGCAATATCCCTCTCATTGTCTAAGGTATCAGTATCAGGTATCAGAAACTCTGATTTCCACTGATAACCCCCATGCCAAGTCTGAAGCACTCGTCAATCTGTTTTTCAGAGCTAGATGGTGCAAATAGCCCACTGTCATTTCAAGAGGACGGCCATTTTGGCTCTGATTGGTGGTGCTATGGCTCATTTTGTATTTTCTCATCACTGCTGATTTTAGTTGATCCTTCTGCATCCTTTTCCATCTCTGAAAACTGACAGATTCTTCAGTTCTTTTCCATGTGGAGGTATGATGCAGACATGCAGAGAGAACTGGGAACGTTCTGGTGTCCACAGGGCATTTCATGTTAATGCACTTGGGCTGATTGGAAATCACAGGTGTTCTCAGTTTAGTTTCAGTGATCACAGGTTCGTGTGTCAGTGATCACGGGTGTGTTCATGTTTGCTGCACTGAGCTTCTACTTTAGAGCTTCTGTTTTTATTGTAGCCGATTTCTAAAGGATTTGTTTTTGACTGTGCATAGAAGGAAACACTGCTTTATGACTTAGAAGTAATGCAAATATTGAGAGGTAATGCCATTTGGAGTCATTTGAGGTTTTAGTGATATTGCACAAGGGTGAAGTCACTCCTGTTAAATATTGTATAAACACCTGCCGCTGTACTCAGAGCTGCCTTTGTGCTCATTTCCGCTGCACACACAGACTCACAAGGTGAAAACAATAACAGGTTTGCTGTCGTGGTGAAGTCCCTTCCTGTTTCGACACTCTTCCTCCCACAACTTTTTTTCAATTACTCTGCTCTCCTCGCGCTCGCCTCACCTCTCCTCCCCCGTCCTCTCATTCTCTCCCCCTTTCCTGTCATCTCCTCCTGGTATCGACCTCTCCTGCTCCTTGTCTCGCTCTCCTTTGCTGCTTTCTAGCTTTACCAGATCTATCAGAACCCGTCAGATCCTTCCTGTCTCTGGATTCCCCCCCTCTACCCCCGTCAGCCTCTACTGCCTTTTAATCCATCCAGCTGGGGCAGCTATTATGTTTGTCTCTACGGGAGGGAAAAAAAAGTGTTTGCTGGTCTCATCATCGGGACCTGATGAGCGATTCTGCAGGAATAAGAATGCAGTGGGCTGATTTGTGGAATTAAATGGCTGAAAAATTGCTGATATTTTGTGTCAGACGTTGTGGCTTTGAACAGTAGTAGCATAAATAATGTGATTTGGAATGACATTTTCAGCATCCGGGACTCCAGTAAAAGTGTATTTTTGCTGCTACATTATCTCTAAACCGATTTATATTTTTTGTGTTAATAACTTGGGGCATTAAGATTTCATGCTGACCATGGAGTCACGCTCTTAAACTCAAGGATTTGGTTAAATCCCAGAGAGCTTTCTTTTGTTCCACTCATTTCTTATTTTTTCTTTTTTCCCCTCATCTGCTGCAGTTAAACCTCTTTAGCTCAAACACAGAAATTCTTAGTCAGCCACCTGAGTCTTGTTTTCAGGAATTCATGCATACGGTATGAGAAGACGCATCTAAGTGAATGGGCTCTTGCATCAATTAAGGCATTCTTTTATGTAAATGCACCTTCGTAATAAAAAGAAGAACACAGTGAATCATAATGATAAAATGTTCCTGATGAGATTAATTATAATTGAAAATTATTATAATCTTAGTATGTATGCATTCGAAGGACAGGGTGCAGTTTCTTATCCATCTTTTAATCTTCAAAGCCCAAAGAAATAACAGAGCTTTCATTAAATCTGCCCTTAATGCTCTGATTATTAGAAAAATTAATTAGATTTGGAGTTTTGTTATTGATAGGGAATTATCGCCTAATCCTCTTAGCAGGGAAAGCTTTATTAACTCAGATACTCATCATTCTGATTCATCACCGAGGTGAAAAACACATCCTTAAAGAGGAAGAAGATTAGAGAAGATGACCTGGATGTTTTTATCGAGAAGGGGAGAAAAAAAAAAAGTTTAAGTTGGAAAAACTTTGTCTTTGTGTGTGTTTTGTGTGAAGATAAGCTGGAGGTGAGATACAAGCTGGACAGCAGCAGAGAAGCCGAGGTGTTGAGGAGCAAAGTGAGGATTCTGGCCAACGGACAGCTGCACACCGTCACCATCAGGAGGCTGACGGACTCTGTGTCTGTGCAGGTAACAACTCACACCGTCACACAGTGTTCAGAAAATACACTTAATTTCCCCAAACATGATTATTTATTCTGTGGCATTGAGCTGAAATGTATAAAAGCAAATGAAGATTTCAGGGAGCACAAAACAACTTCAGGGGGCTCTTCAATATGAAAAATACAGAGCAGGATTATATTTATATGCAAGTGAGGACAAAATCCTGATTTTTAGTCAAACTTAGAGGACATTGAGGTATCAAGGCCTCATTTACACTGTAGTTGCTTAAGAAAAATCAAAGATGTACTCACACAAATGTACTTAATAAAATTGCTGACAGGTAAGTTAATATAATAATAAAGCTGTTATTTAAAGGATGTAGAAACAAATTAATCAGCTAAAACAAGAGTAGCTTGAAGTTTAAGAAGAAGAAATTAAAAATCTGAATTGTTCTAAAAAATGAAACTGTTTGGCATATTTTTTTCAGGTCGCTACACAATGAGTTACACTAGATTTTCCAAGCTCAGTAAAAACAGCACAAGAAAAAAAACAATTTAAAAAATAAATGTGTAACTACCTTTTAAAGCTTCTCTCACTCATAATTAGCAAAGCTGCTCACTGTCACTTCTGGCGGTCTCAAACTGAGAGCTGAGTGCTCTTTGAAGGGTCATTTTCTTAGACTCCTTCTGTTTAACAGTGCGGTGTGCATTATTTAAAAAGAACGTTAAACATGTTAATCAGCTCCTTCTAGAGAGTTTGTTATTTTCAGATTTTCCATTATTCATGTGCATTTCCACTGTCCTGCTACAACTTGCCAGTCAGAAAGCACCCACTTGTTCAGATCTACCTCTCATGAATCGGCGCCTGCTCACGCTCAAGTGCAGACTTCCAGGCTGAAGAGCATTTGAAGTAGTTTTGTGTTCGCTCAGAAATCTTTTGTGCTTCCTGTACTTGAATAAAAAGGTTGCCTCTTCACGGCGCACCCGGCAGCTGTGGTCAGCTGCACGCTACGCTGGTTCCATTTCAACTATCTGCACCGTTTTAAGGCAATAAAAAGAAAAAAAACATCACACCAAGTCCCTCCAGCAGCTTAATCATGTTTTCCGCCTGTATGCTGTTTTCCAAACACTTCAAAATATGGATAAATACAGTTTTCATTTGTCATGAGCACAACCTGTAAATACTTACACCGGATGCTTCGCAGATTTTAGTTTTGCTTATGAGTGTTGTTGTCATCAGATTCACTTTAATAGATGAACTCAGGTTCCTCTTTTCTAGTATAAAGTTTGTCTCTAGTAGAAATATGATGAGTAATCCTAAAAAAATATCACCACAACATGCTATTTTTATCAAAATGTGCCAGTTTTCAACAAAGGATTGACAATTTCGGACATTTAAAATGATTTGTTTTCCCACTCGTGTGATAATAAGTCGCCAGTTGTCATGTAAAGATGATCAAAAGTGTGTGTTTGTCTCATTTCTACACGACTATGTTGTTCTTCTCAGTAATATAATGAAACCCGGGTGATCACAGCTGAGTTACAGCAGGACACCAGGAACAAACTGCAAATTAAAGCCGCTCAAGATGAAATATGAAGCCTCTTAATCAAATCTGGATCTACTGAGTGTCTCATCTTGTTAACAGTCTCCCATGATGCATTAGGTAAACTTCATATCACCAGGAGATAGCAGCCCCAGTCCTCCTATGATTACCAACACACTGAGATGAAATACAAGGTCACCTCGTCTTGATTCACCGTGTTGAGGCACCACTGAAATATGAGTTGCATCTCATGTTGCCGCTTTCCATCACCTTGAATCATTATGTTGTTAGCAACATGCTCCGGGGATGTCAGGTGAACGTTCAGCCCGCTGCTTCTTAAAGGGCCACCAGCGTATAGGCTCCACACAGATGGACACGATAATATCTCCTCTGACCAGCTGAAAAATGACCCACTGAAGCCCAAATCACTCTGGGCTACTCATAAACTGTGTTTCTGTGCAGGGTTCAGGCTGCAGTGTTTGGGCTCTTTCATGGATACGAACAACACTCTATTAGATCTTTAAAACGGTACATCATACCCAGTCAGAGTAGAAAAATAAAACCCTGACTTAAATCTGTGTTTTAAATTAGATGCACTGCGGAGACAAAGTGCATTCGCTGTTCAGACAGTAAAAACACTGCAGGTGATGATATGTGGAAACCTATTCTTTAGCAAATCGTCTCAGTTTAAGGCAGTGGGAACTTCACCTGGAGCTTTTTGTTTTATTAGCAGAGGAAACAGCTTTGTTTCTAAAATGCTGTCTAACTTCTATGTACGGTAAGTATGTTGCCCGCAACCACTGACAGGCAGGGAGGTTCAGATCCAATTTTTAAAATTGTGCATTTCGTAACAGATACTGGGACCAGCATGAACCTCAGCCTGATCTGCTGTCACACTGGGGTCATAACAGGTAAAGAACAATTTGTGACAGGTCAGTAGGGTCGGGAATTTTAAATTGTTGTTGTAAATCAGTAATCCACACCTTTATCAATTCACAGTGGACTTCTTGAGCACAGTGAACATTTGCCCTGTGGTAATGTCACTGCTTTCTCCACTTTTACATGAAGTACATGAATCCTCTGTTGGAGCTTGCGGAGCTACTTTACTGTCCCCACACTGCAAGTGAGACGATGCTCCCCCAAAGCTTTGCAGCAAGGTTCATGATTATACCTACATAACACTGAGGAACAGCTTAAATGCAGTCGTTTTTCTATTTGAATTTTTTTTACTTATTGCATTGCAGAGCTATTCAGTTATCAAGCACATATATTTGATTGACTGCAATAATTTTGATGCACCTAAAGTGTGTATTTTCTCAGAAAACGGTGTCTGTTTAGGATTCGATATCGGCAGATGCTGAACACTAAATGACTCAAGGACATCCCTACTGATAGGTCTAAGAGTCGGTTTTTCAAATTGTGGAGATACATTTTTAAAAATGTGGTGAAATGACTTCCAGTAAATATGCATTCAACCCACTTTGGAGTTCAAACTAAAGACTAATTTAAAAGGAGTGTTTCGTTCCAGACTGTTTAGTGTAATTCAGAAAGGTCCCGAATGCAGAACACACAGCAGACAGGCAGAGGAGTCAATCAAAAAGTAAACTTTAAAAAATACTTAGTAAAGATGTCAACAACCGTACGGCAGCGAGGGAGATCAGCCAAACAAAGTTTAACAAAAGAAGTCCAAAGAGAGAATCCATTAAAGGGGAACCAGATACAACTGGGAGACACAATGGAGCACAAGGAGGAGGAGCACAAATACAAATGTATACAGAGGAACAGACTGGAGCTCCGGCAGGTAAACAGACCAAAGGACAGGGGAAGCAACTGGGAACAGGTGGAAACAATCAGGGAACCACAAGGGCAGGACAAGACAAAGGCAGGAAGTACAATCAACTGAGATGCACAAGAAAGGTAAATATATAAATAAAGCTGGAAGTGACAAAGAGTGACTAACATATAGACAAACAAGAGGAGACAGAGACAGGGAAGCTCAGAAGACACAGAAAAAAAGAAAATCCGACCCTGATAAACACAGAATCTGCCTCCCAAACTCTCATATTCACTACATGGTCGGTAGGTTTTGGCAATTTGAATCATAACACATTTGGAAGCAAATTTATGCCAAGAAGGAGAACAAATGCAAAAGGCCCTGTGTTAGTGTTTGTTTATTAGGATAAGCCACTTGAGATGTACCACCTTGTTTCTGAGCCTGTCTGGAGCCGGCGTTCGGCTTCAAAACACAATAGTTCTTATTTTTCGGTGATAATACATTCATGAAAACACAAATTTTAGAAGCTGTATTCCACTTCTGCACACCAATCCCTACACACTGGACCTTAAAGACTTGCTTCATCTTGTTTTCAGTTGGTAAAACATTCTTAAATGAAGCTGCGTTTTATCAAAATCAAAAACCTCCTGTAGTGAAACTCTGGCAAAGGAGTGCTGGTTAGTGTCTGGGTGCACGGGGAAGCTGTCTGGTCTGAACTATCCAGTTATGCCAACATTACAGCTCGATGCTCAAAACTTTCTCTTTTGTGCTCCAAGTAACCAACTGGAATCTAGCAAAAACTGAAAATGATTCTTAGATGAGGTCAAGATTGATCAATATGGTGTTTTTAGTTTAACTATGCAATTATCCTATTCTGGCCTAATTTGGGTCTACATGAGTTTATTCAGTACAGACGCTGTAATTTGATACCAAGATATACCAGTGGTACAAGATATACCCGAGTTTCTATCTGTGCAGACTGAGGAACTCCAGCTCTGTTACATGTCAGACGGTCGACTTTTCCTCTTGTTTCTATCCATTAACTGGAGTCATGTCTTCCAGCAGCCTTCTGTGTGTGAATGGGAAACATGGTGAAGCGTTTGGAGTACCACTGAGGTAGAAAGGTCCTATTTAAGACCATTTAACATTACTTTAGTGAAAGTAGTTTGATCTGTTGAATGATCAGACTGAAGTGTTTCAACATGGCTTGATTACCTTTAAGTTACATTTACTGGTTCAGAGATGTACTTACATTTGCTTTGCTCCATCTCACCTCACTTAAACACATCTATGTGAAACTTTAAACTGCAGCTCATGATCCTCTCACGCGTCACTCCAAAGCCAGACAGAAATATACGACGTAAAATGTCAAGCAATGAATAGAAATGTTCCTTTTCACGTGTTGTGTAAGTTCAACAATCCACAAAAGACGCAAGAGCAGATTTAGTGCTTTAGACAAACAGGTGTGTTTTACAGCAGTCAGTATCTCATTTGAATTAAAGTTTTAAAAAAAAGACATGTAATTTAAAATCAGGTGATACGTCAAACTGACTGACTGCAAGCTAAAATATAAGCTTTGGTGTTGCAAACTTCAGGTTTCGGCTCTGAGCAGCTCTCCTCTTCACAGCCACATGGTGGAACTGGCTGTAGAGCGGCACTCAAAAACGACTGAATGTTTTTCATCGCTAGTATGTCGCTTATTTCTGCCACTGAGCTGGTGAGATGAAACAAAGGAAAAAGCGGCACCGTTTTTTTTTTTAAAGGCAACTATAAACAAAAGGATTCCAAATAGCCACTGTTTGAGTGCTGAAGGAAACAATGGCTGGTAAAAAAAAAAAGAGGGAATCTTTTGAAGGTTAGTACCTGAGAAAAACTGCAATTAGTCTGTTAAGGAAACAGAAAACAAAACAGATTTTAATTTTTTTTCAGATTGACCAAAATGCGAGAGAAGACTTCAACCTGACATCTGACGGAGAATTCAACGCCATCAAGTCGCTGGTGTTGGGCCGAGTGCAGGGTAAGTAGGAGGCAGTGAAAACAGCAGCACAGTGGCCTGTTGGACTAACATTCATTTAAATAACAGCTCTGAGACGTTTGGCTTCATCTGACACTCAGCGTGTACGTTTTTAGGAAATTTAAATGAAGTTCTTGCTGTGACTTAGCTCTGTGCAATATATTACATCTTCTTGTTAGACTTTTTAAATCGCATTTCACCAAGTCTGTACATTAGCGTGCACAACAATAGACAGGAACATCTCCCATTGATTTGCATACTGCCATTTTGAAGCCTTTGCAGTTTGGTCATTCCTATCCTAGTTTTTGATGTGGTCTAATGGTGCCAATTTAGCAATTTTAAGGTAGCCAGGCCTTAAAATGTACCCAGGCCTTAAAATGTACCCTGCTTTATCGTCTGTTTTCACTAAATGACACCACATTTTATGAAATGATCACAACACTACTCTGTAGAAGAGTTAAAACTGGCTTTAGTGACCATAAACTCATTGGAGGAATGTCTACTGAGGTAACAAATCAAGTCAGCCATCGGGCCATTTTCTCACTGACTCTACAGTCGGGCTTCTTGCCACCAAAGGTGTCGCCCCCTGCTGGCTGCTAAAAAGAATAACTGTTTAAGGCACTTGTACCTTTAAAATCCTCAGAAATAAATGCCACCGAAGCTGTTAGGACGAAGACGAAAATACCAGTCACTTTATCATCCTGAGTACTCAACAGTGCAGAGTCAAGCTGCAAATAGAAAACTATGTAAACTGGAAGTTTAATCAAGTTTTTGTTACACTTGAATCTGAGGCTGTATAACAAGACGTTGCGGGCAGGTTTAGAGTTGATGCTAATGCTGACAGACATGTAAAATTGCTGCAGGAACCACGTCTTGGGCCTTTCAGCTTTGCCATGTTCTCTCCAGCGGTCTCTGTTGCCCAGCACTTCAATAAATAATGCCAAACAGAGTAATAAAATACCATATACTGCATTAGCTCACAAGAACGTTTCACCACTTTTACTTCATACATAATCCAGTTTCCTTTGTCCTGTCTGACTGAGTTTGTGAGGAACAGCGTGCTTCAAATTGCCCTAATAGGCTTAAAATGAAATAATTTTACTTTCTGATAGCAATGGGAATAAACTGAACAGAAGAACGGAGAAAAGGTCACCATGAACCTGCAATGTTTGATTAAAAAATACGGTAATAAAATGCAACAAGGAGCTTTTCTTTGGCTGATGAGGATCAGACTGGATGAGGAGGTCAATCTTTATATCATGCACAAAGTTGTAGCAGTTACCTTGTAGTATTGCCACTTCTTTTTTTTTAAAATAAATGTATATATCTCTTTTACTTCAATGTATTATAGTTAAGGCTGTCAATTAATCAGATATTTCCAATTCTCTTTTGTCATATCTACGTTTGCTGGCCTTGAGCTGAGAGGCACCTGATTCAGTTGCATTTTGCTGGAACATTCATGGAGAACCCTATTTGCACTGTATTGTATTTCCATTTGTTCCTCTGCAACTGATTTCATCGTGGCACTGTTGAAAGTGGCAAGTTTAGCAACCTTTTGTCACTGTGTTGTGTTGGGTGGAGAAATGATGGAGAGGCCTGCATCCGTTTCTACACTGAAGGAACAGTTTGCTAGAATTTACCCAGACCAAAAAAAGCAAGAAGTTATTTTAACACCGTTCACTAGCGTTATCCTGCTTTTTCAGCTCTGTACAATTAATTACACCTTTGTTACAATTTCACCAAGTCAAAACAATAGCATGGACATACGTATGCATCAACTTTATATAAAAGACGTAGACACGAGGACTTCACTCGCTGGTTTGTGGACAACTTTTGAAGCTTTTGCATTTTGATTCTTGTCATCTTAGTTTTTGAAACTGAATGTGGTTTTAGCTGTGTTAAGGTAGCCAGGCCTTAAAATGTACCTGCTGTATCGTCTATTTTCCTCTAAAAAAAGAGACCATAATGTATAAAATGAACACCGTGATGAGTGGAAGGAGATGTATGAGACTATAAACGCACTGGATGTTTACTGAAGTAACAAACCAACTGAGAATTAGGGCCATTTTCCTCATAGACTTCTATACAATCAGACTTATTTTTTCCAAAGACATCGCCCCCTGCTGGCTGTTTACAATAATGCAGGTTTGAGGAACTTGTACGCTGGCTCTAAGACCAGGGTGCTAACTCATCTGTTATATGCAGTCTGTGTACACAGGACAGAATAATATCAATTTGCCACATTTGTGGGGCATGTCTCTCAATTGTAGCAGTCATTCAGTGGGAGAAGCTGCTTAAATCTGCACCATGAGATTTATAGCAAGTGATGTTACACACTGTAAAAACCTTGTTAAATGTAATTGAGTGGGCTCTGTGAGGTTGCTTGTCCCAATACATTACAGTATAAACAGTTAAAGATTCAGCCTGAACTGAAATTCCATTGAATTTGCAGCGGGGGTCATTTTTTGGCTCTTAAACATCCGTAGTGTTGATTTAATAATCAATCCAGTTTATTGTCAAACCCTAACTGAGAAATTCGTTACTTGTAAAAACTTGAACTTCCTGAAAAAGACCTTGAATTGTTGCATTACTACATTTTTGTGGGGTCTGGTAATATTTTTTTTTTCTTATGTGAAGCTCCAGCTGCTATCACATACCGTCTCTTCATCATCACCTTTACAAAAGAGTCCCTGTAATAGATTTTATTGCACAGAGTGACCAACCCAGGGTGCTTCGGTGCCATTATTTATCCACTTAACTGTGGAGTCCTGGACATTGACCTGCAAAAGTGTTGGGGTGAGACGGTAATTGGCTCTGTCATGACTTATTCATGTTCTCTCTGAGCGGCTCCATCAAAGACAAACTGACATATAAACTGTGAGCAACACGAAGGATTGAGAGGCTGCAGGCTGCAGTCACAGCTCTCTGATAAGACGGAGTCACAGCCACCGCGCTGTTGACTTGAAAGGAATCACACCAGCTATTAACTGTAAAACATGTCATCTATTTATAGCAGTTTTCATCAGAGGTGTCCAAATGCACTGTCAAGTAATGTCAGGCAAATAAAAGGATTAATTTTTCATAGATATACCTTGTGAAAGTTTTAAGTGGCTCTTTGCGAGAGTGTCGTGATGTGTCGTGCAAGATAAGCAGCAGTTTGTACCTGCAGCACATGTTACTGCTAAATATGTGTTGTCAGAAAGATGCTCTCCACTAGTTTGTGCTTCCATTACTGAGTGTTAAACATCTATTGAAGGTCTTTAATCTCAGGACACTTATAGCGCCACACAAGAACATAAAAATGTGTTAATCTGCATTGAATTTAATAAAAAGGATGACTGTCCGAGGCTGTAATTGATGCTTCTTGGTGCTCAAAAATTGGAATCATTCACACTTTAAGCCATGAAATTGATCAAAATATAAAATACTGAACAGAAAAGTGTTGTTAAAGGACATTTTCGCCCCTAAAAAACCACATCTTTTCATATTGTTTTCCACTCTAGTTAAAGTCGGATCAGTCGGATGTAAGGCTCCGGCGTGCTGTCACACAGCTCAGTGTTTCACAGGCTATTTTAGCCCCGTCATGTCAGCATGTAAACCCTCTGTCAAACCAAAGGAGGCACAGAGTCAGATCAAGATCAGAAAAGCAGCAGGAAAGTAGACTTTCTGTCGCTCTCCTTCAACCCTGTCATCCATCAGCCTAACTAATGGATCCGGACGGAATACAGAGCGACTGAGAGTTGAGGTGATAGAGTGAGGAGCTGCGACGAGCTTCCAGGCTGCAGAAACGCTTCCTGCTGCTCTCATCAACATGCAGATGTGTCCTGGTAAAAAAAACCACAGTCACCTCTCAGTCATCTCTAAAGACACTGATGCTGCTGTTTACAGTAGGAATGTCGGCTTTCACAGCTGCTGTTTACGCCGCTGTGAAGGAGCGGAGGTGAATGATGGAGGGGTTTGAGTCAATAAAATGAACAGATAGAGGTGGAGAGTGCACATCTGTCTCGCGAAGTGATGGACTGAAAGCAGAATAATTGACAGTCGGCCTGCTGTAAATGGAGGGTGGTGAGCGCCTGCATGTTTGGCGTTTTTCCTGATTGAGTATTGATGGGCATCATGGATCCTGAATTGGTGGTGTCAGTTTTTTTTTGTTGTGCTTCTGCTCTCAGGAGACAAGGCAAATATATGAACAGGTAAATATGCCGGGGAGTCTGCCAGTGTACGCAAGGTGAGAGTGAGGGGGGAGGTTATCGCTAAGATCACGCTGTTCCCTAAAGGTTTGACTTATTCAGTGCAAGTATTGCAGGAAAATGGAAAACCCTGACAGCAAATGAATAAATGGATGATTTGCCATTTTTCAATCCCCATGAGCAGGTGATAATCAGCACCTGAAGCCGACAATTGCATGTTGAAGTTGTCATTTAATGTGAGACAGTTTCTGTGATAGTATCTGTCTAAACACGTGTCCCTGGTGCTCTTGTTTCATGATGGATGCCAATGCTGGTTAGTAGACCCACCCCTTGGATTGAAAAGTCTCAATGAGTTGCTATGAAATCTGGTACAGACATCCACGTCCCCATTGGTAGGATCTGCATTTGAACTTTTTGTCTAGCAAAACGACAAAACTGATGACATCCGCCACTGTAATTAGTACGTTTGTTTCCATCATGCAGACTCAATGGGAAAATGTCTATTTTACATCAACTTGTTAGCATTGCCTTTGTGAACATGTTAGCTTGCCGATGTTAGCGTTTTGTTTAAAGCAGAACTGTGCAGCCTCACAGAGCTGCTGACTCATGCACTTTCATTTAATTCATCCATTTAGAAAAGGCTGATATTATAATTTGCAGGTACTGTTATAATAAATCCACCAAGATCCTCTTTCACAGACTATTTCACAACACAAACACGCCTCGCTAGTAATAATTGTTGAGAAATATTGAACACGATGCTGACAAAAGTGGCATTAATATACAATTTTCATCTCAGGTGTTCTCAGTAAAGTCTAGTTGTTGTTTTTTTGCTCTTTTATTTTAGGAGACAATATACAGTATTGTTGCATTTATATTAGCATTCAGCGGAAAGCACTACGTTAGCGTACCTTGGAACTGCAGTAAATGTCTCTAAATTACATAAAGGTGAAATTATTTACCAAAAAAAGTATTTATAAAACCTTGGAACTTTCAAATTAGAAAAACAATACTTATATATTATGTTGTAAATATAAATGTACTTATTGCATTACACAGATGTTTAAAACATTTTCAGCTCTCTCTCTGTCGTTCTCTTTGCCTCTCCAGAGTCTGATGACTTGGATCCGGACCTGGCCAGGTTGGCGTCTCTCGGTTTCGCCGGCTGTCTGTCGGTGGTCCAGTTTAACACCATCAGCCCTCTGAAAGCAGCTCTGCTCCACCCGGACACCAGCCCCGTCATCATCAGCGGACCTTTGGTTCAGTCCAACTGTGGCTCTGCAGCCTCAGCCAATCCCTACGCAGAGGAGAACACACACCACCTGTCAGGTAGGAGGTGGAGAAGTCAGTTACGTCTTAGGAACATTAAACTTATGTTTCAGATTTAAGCCTGCAGATCTCCAAAGTTCTATCAGATATGTTGCACCATATTTTGAAAGTGAGATCCACTATGTATTGATTCTTGAGCCTTTAGTTGGCTGCTATCAACACTCCGTCACCTGAGGTCCAGTCATTTATTTGCATTTTGTTCTGCACCTTGATCTCTAAAAGAAAAAAAAAAAATGTGACTTTCAAGTACAAACATCAGAGGTGCAAGATAATGTGGAAGCTCAGAACTGGATGACAAACTCCCCCCAAAAAATACAGTCAAGCATTAGAGAAGAGAAGCTCCACTCTTACAGCGACGACAAAAAGGTGCAGTTTTGTGTCACACTGGGATTCCTTAAAGCATCTCTGGTTTAACTTCTCAAACCCAAAGCCTTTATTATGTAGCATGACAAGCTCCGCTGCTTCACTCACTGAGACTTACGATGGGGCTGTTACTGGGAAAATCGAGCAAAATATAAAAAGAGTCAGTAAATAATTTTTACGTGTGCTCGACAGGACGCAGGCCAGAGTCCAGTGTAGCTAATGGCTGTACCACACTGGAGGGAAACAGGGAGACATTTATTGCAAACCTGTGATACCACATAATATTCAAAATCTCTGTTCCTGTCTGCCAGCTTTGGAGTTTATTCCAGGATTAGAGCTGCATGCGTCTCCTGTTGTCTTTCCATTTTTGTGTCAAAACTGGATGAAAGCTGTTCCTCAAGGCCTCATTAATCACATGGAATATGCTCCTTGTTTTTGGGAGACTAATGACAGCGTGATCAATGCTTTCATTAATTTCGAACACGTAGTAGATTCCTTTGGGAGTTCCTTCTTCTGGGCTCATCCAGTTTTACTGATTCCTTTAATCATATGGAACGCTGATGTTGTATTCTGTCTGATTTGAGTTATATTCTGATTTTGTGTCTGATTTTCATTCCTGACTCTCTTTCTGATGCGATCTTTATTTTTCTATTACTCGCATTTTTCCTTCTGGTCTACTTCTTGTGCTTCCTGCATTTGGGTTTTTGCTCTTTTCTCTTCTTCCTTTTTTTGGTGCCCTTTCGTCTGTTTTCCTTTTGCCCTTATAACTTTCTCTACCATCTTGTTTCTTCCCTCTTTCTCTGCTCTAGACCAGTCTGGTTCAGTGGGTTCAGGTCAACCTTTAGTCAATGCCATCAGGACTGACTCGGCTCTGATCGGAGGTACTAAACCGCTTCTTTCACTGTTCTCAAGCCTGTTTCTTATTGTTTTTAGCATTGTTTTTGGTAATTATTATCAACCATGCTGTTTTCAAAAAGTGAAATTTAATGGATTTCTTTGCTGCATTTGTGATGAAGGACAAGTTTAAGGCTCACTTGGATGAACAAAGTTGTGGCCAGATGTTGAACTCCAAGAAAGAGTAAAGTGATGTGCCAGGCAGGAGTCCATTTAAAACTCATTTAAAACTTTGTTGCTCTGCCAGCACAGATTGATACAAAGTGAAGACTCAAAAGGTTCAATCTATAATTGTGTAGATAGAAAAGTCGAGTCTCAGTGAATAGTCATTTAAAACTGTCCAGTACACAAAGGGCGACTCACCTCATTAAACCTATGCAGGGATGATTTGCTGATGAGAAAAACTTTTTTTTTTTAACTGTTATCTTTAAAAGCCTGGTCAGTTTATAACGTAATGTGGAATTAAATTGATTTCAGGCGAATTTTGGAATTCCAATTAAGTGAAGCCTGCTCTCGTTTTCCCAAATGTGCTCAACAGAGCAGAAGAGCATGATGGATTCAAAAGATTTACCTTTAATGTCCTTTAAAGTTAGATTAGCAAGATGTTCAAAACATTAGGGGGTAGAATTACTGTATTACAAAAAACAGTTGTTCTGATGACCAAGAAGCAACAGCACATCTTTGAACCACTCATGCACAGTGAAATTTGAAGACATCTGATATCGCAGCCTTTTAAAGTCTTGAAATCCCTCCACCTTGCAGGTGTCATCGCAGTAGTGATCTTTGTGATCGTGACCGGCCTGGCGATTACTGCCAGATTCCTCTACCGGAGGAAGGACACGTATCGAAACCAGGAAGTAAAGGGAGTCAAGCAGGACGACAGCCCAGATTTTCCTTTCAACAACCAGACCGACTCCCAGAATCTCTCCACCGAAAACCCAAAGGAGTATTTCATTTAACTGGAGCCCAATGACCTGATGTGCTGCTGGGTTTTTGGAGCTGAGGGGCTGCAGATAGGAGTGTCCATCATGCCTCAGGGCTTTGCAGAGCACTCAGGAGCCACTCAGACATTCCTCCGACAGAAGTGGCTCTACACCACGAGGAAAGCAAAGAAGAACAATCCACACAGTGTTGTCTCTCTGCTTTGCTGTAAATTGTGAATATACTGATACAAAACAGGCAACCGTGTTGGACTTTGAGGTGTTAATATACTTGTTTCAGTGACTGTAAATATTCAAACAATGTAAATGTTGAATTCATGTCTTTGTAACAATCTCTGGCTAACGACACTTTGTCATATAGAAATGTTGGAAGTCAAGGAGGTGTCAGTATATTTATTGTGTATGAGCAGGGAAATGTGAAGCCGTGTCCTTTTGTGGTTGGGTTTCACCCGGAGAGAGCCAGAGGTGAACTCCATGAATTTAACAAGGTGTCTCACTAACCATACATAAATATTTTATCTTTACTTTTGAGTATTTTTTTTGGTTTCAACCATCTCGTCCAGCTGCTTGCTGTTTTGCTGCACATCAGATATTTCAGTGAAGGATAATTCTTTCCACAAATAGACAAAAATGATTCCAAAATTATGAGCTTTGTCGTGGATTTATCAAGTTTCAAAGCTGCATTTGGTATTGTTGATAATAAAAATGTGTCAAATGATAATGTGGAAACTAGAAGGACACTTGAAGAGCACACATGTCCACCCGGGCCAGTGCCCAGTCTTACAGTTTTAAGGAAAGTGATCTGCATCAACATTTAACTGGTTTTTCCTTTGCCCATTTTTTTGATCCGCCCAGTTTCATAAAATTCAGCATGGCAGTTGTTGTGTAGTGTTGCTGACCTGTAAACCAAATGGCACTGAAAATCCAACCTCCTTGGTGGAGGTAGCAATGTGACAATGAACTGTAAATGTGAATCAGCTCTTTTCAGCCTTTGAGCTCAGTAGTGAGTTTAAACTCATACTCTGTCAGGCACAACTTCACTGTTTGCATTGTTTTTGGTACCAAATGGCAGCTGCATTCAGAGAAAAAGGCTACTGGGCACAATGTAATGGTTGTCAAATTGCCAGACAGAGACAGTGTTAGCATCTAGCTGGTGAACATGGAGCATTTAGCAGCCAAACAGCCACAGTTTCCTCAGGAGTTGGTAGAGACCAAAACCAGAGCAAAAAGAAAATTAATATTGGACACAGAATCCACCAGATAGACTCAAACAAGAGTCCACGTGAATTGTAATGTTACACCATAACTGCTTGCTGGGTAAACAAGAAAGGAAGTCGGTCCGTGTTTATCTGATAACAGTAACTGCTGGAGAAACTAAAAACTCCTTCAACCACCACTTTGTCAAAAACACAACAGCAGAGTAACTGGTAGTAATTAAATAATGATGGTGAACGCTGTCTCTATCGTTGACAGCTTTTGTGATTAAGGAATGAAAACACACTAAAAGGCTATTTCTGAAAGTCCTTAAGTAATATTAAAATGGGTTTCATTTGAATGTCCACCTTAAAGATTATATCTTTACCCACACAATGGCCTATTGCACACAGTCAGTCAGGGTCACTCTATATATTAAAATGTAGCTTGGAGCTGGTAAAGACAGAGCAGGACTTGAGAGACAGCTACACACCTCTGCTCTAGAAGTTTAATTAAAACTGCACCGTCATCTCAAGCTGCAAAAGTTGACTCAGCACATATCAAAGTGGCTTCACGTATAGAAAATCGCCCTTTTGTAGTAAAGAAGTCTTCTACTCTAATGATGTATGAAGTTAAGGAAGAAAACTTCTTCCCTTGAACTAGATTCCTGGTCTGTGGTTTGGATTCATTGAGACAGTGTTTGTTTGTTGCTATCTGGTGCAGCGCAGGTTTGAACTATGTGAGCCACAGTCCAGGTAGAGAAGGATTAACTTGGGCACTCAGTTTATTTTTTATTTTTTTAATAAAAAGACATGTCAACAGGAAACCAACACCCATCTAAAGACCTTGATCATTTTTAGACTGCAAGCACATGTACGGTTCACTCAAAAGCCTTTACATCCACTTTACTTTGCATCCCCACTTAAAAGTTTTATTGCTGCCTGCTGGGAGCTCCGTCTCCCAGCTCTCTAAACAGTGAAGCTTTTAACACCGACTCTGTAACACTGTGGCTGTCTGTCACCTCGTTCGCCGCACACAGAGACAGTTAATGTGTTTTCGAAAAGGTAATCGGCTTCGATCTGACAGGTGGATTGTGGTTTGCTTGAAAGCAGAGAGAGAGCTGATGAGAATGAGACAGAAAGATAATCTGAGACACCGTGTCAAGCAGACGTGGTTATAATGAAAACACATTCTGATATTAGTGCTCGAAAATGAAGCAAATCCCTCCATGCGTTAATCCAGCTCATGTGCAAAGGGTGCTGATGGTGGAAGCAGCAGCAGCTGTTTATCAAACACACCGCCGTCTCTCTGTGAGACCCCCAAAGCACAGATGGGATTTTAATGACAAAAGTTGCTAAATCTTCAAAGAGCATCTTTAAACTTCATCGCCCCACAACAGCGAGTGAACACTTACGGCAGGGTTTTGTTTCTGGTGTGTCACAGTCGTCTCACTGTGGACTTGATGCTGGAGTTAACAAGTAGCTGCCACCACTGTGGATTCATTCTGCAGCAAAGCCAACGAATGTGAAATTGTTTTTACGTTTATCATCTCTTGACAAAAAGGTTTCTAAAGCAAACAGTCTTGAGTTCGTCAGTCTCGTACTGAAAGACTCCCAACTACCTGCTTTCCAGGAATTTTCTGAGATTCATTATCCCAAGAGGATGAAGCATACCGTGTTCAGTAATCCATGGCTTCTCCCCCTGTGCCACCATGAGGTTGGTGTGTTTGTTTTTCCAGTGAAATATACAGACGACTGTTCTGAAATGTGTTGCACATGCATAATATCCATGGTCCTCAGAGGATGAACTGTAATACCAACCCAGCTTAACACCAAAATGTGTAATAGCTACATTGGTCCACAGCATAAGCTGTTTTAGTCGTACAATAAAGGCTGTATATTTGTGAGATGTCCTTGTTTTTGGACCTTTTCTTTTGTATTGTTCTCGCTTTGCTTACTTTTCAGTCACATTTTTAGTTGCTGTTCTCAGTTGTTTTCAGTCATTTTCAGTTTTTGGTCATTTTTAGTTGTTGTTTTCAGTCTTTTTTTTTTTTCAAAGTTATTTTTTTGGCCTTTATTTGACAGGACAGTAGAGAGTGAGACAGGAAAGTGGGGAGAAGAATAGGAGGAAGGACCTGCAGCAAATGGCCATGGGCTGAATTTGAACCCACGACCGCTGCATTGGGGACGATAACCCCGGCACACAGCTCACCATCTCAACCAGTTGAGCGATAGCGGCGGCCCTTTCTGTCATTTTCTGTTGCTGTTTTGAGCCATTTTGAGTCACAGTTTCCCGTCAGTTTCAGTTGCTCTATTCAGTCGTCCGTTTTAGTCGTTGTATTCAGTCAGTTTTGTTGACCATCTTCAGTCAACTGTACAGCCTTTGTTGTGAAAATATTACACTCATGCTGTGGACCACCTCAAGATATTCCCATCATCCTCAGCTGTGTTGTGTGTTCAGTATTAGCTGGCAAATGTTAGCATGCTAATAGACTAAACCAACAAGGTAAACAATGTACCAGCAGCTAAACATGTTAGTACCAGCATTTATCTGAATGTTTCAACCTGAAAAACACCAAAATGTTGTTTCTTTTTAACTTATATTTTTAAAAGAAAGAAAGAACGAAAAAAAAACTAAATAAATAGATTATACCGTGAAACAAACAAACAAAAAAAAAGATTTAAAAAATTGGCCCTTAAAATGTTGACCTTAATGTCATACCATGATCAGTATACAGAACAGCAGTGCCATAACAGCTACAGATTTGAGCTACTCTAGATACACTCCAGGTACATTTCAAAAATCACGACTTTGCTGACAGTGACTTAGTTTCATTTCTGGCAAGATTTGTAGTTAAGCTGGACAGTTATCAGTGTAACTATTACAATGTAATGGTACGTAGTATTGGTGAATAACAGTGATGTCAGTGAGTTTGAGTGACATGCCATGAAGAAAAAAAAAAATGTTATCCAGAAGATTTTAATCACATTCTGGTTGTTTGGTTACAGACAAATCCTGTTTGATGAAAATAAAAATGTTTTTTCAGAGACTGTAAGTTTTATTCGGGGGATTTTATGTCAGAATGGATCGGAGGACAGACACAGTGGAAACCAGAAGTTTACATACACGGTATAAAAAAAACACAATCTGTTTTTTTTTTTCTCACTATCTGAATGTGACCAAACTTTTCCTGTTTTAGGTCAGTTAGGATTACCAAAATTATTTCTATTTGCTTAACATCAGAATAATGAGACAGTAATAAAAAGAAATATCTAAAAAATTCTCTCTTTTCAAAATCAGAAGTTTACATACCGGTCCTTAGTATTTGGTAGCATTGCCTTTAAACTGTGTGACTTGGGTTCGATTTTCTACAGGAATGAGATCAGGGATTTGTGATGGCCACTCCAAAACACTGACTTTGTTGTCCTGAAGCCACTAATTTGGTGGTATGTTTGGGGTCATGTCCATTTAGAAGACCCATTTGCATCCAAGCTTTAACTTGATGTCTTGAGATGCTGCTTCAGTATTTCCACATAATGTTCTTTCTTCATGATGCCATCTATTTAGTGAAGAGCACCAGTCCCTCCTGCAGCAGAACACCCCCACAACATGATGCTACCACCACCGTACTTCACACTTGGGATGGTGTTCTCAGGTTTGCAAGCTTCCAGACCAGACAGTTCACTTTTAGTTTCATCAGACCACAGGACATGTCTCCAGAAATGAAGGTCTTTGTCCCAGTGTGCATTTGCAAACTATAATCTCTCTTTTTTTATGTTGCTTTTGGAGTAACGTCTACTTTCAGTTCTTCTCAACTTCCTGTGAGTACATTCGATCACTGATGGCTGTTCGCAGGAGTTTTGCTGCGGACCGTGGAAATGTGTAACACTGAGAAAAATCCAGAAGTAGAGGATGTCAAAGTGATTCTCTGTGACGAACCGCTTAGCCTCTCTGCCTGTTTAAACGCTCAGATGCCCGAGGTTACGAGATGACTCAGCTGTCTTACATCAGTAATCCCTCCTCAATTTATTCACATCGTCTCTTATTGGTTGAGATCAGAGACCAGATGTGAAGCTGATAACTGACACCTTCAGCTGTGATGTCAAAGACTTGCTGAAGAGAAAACTCAAGCGCCATGAGGATCAAACAACCTTTACAGCCACTTAGAATGTAAATGTGATAAATATTCTGTCTCATCTTTAGGCAGAGAGTGTATACAGGCAATGTGGTCAGTTCAGGTAATAAACACCATGTTCTTGCTCTCTTTGTCAAGATTAGGGACACATTTTGGGTTGAAATGGTAAAGTCCAATGTTTTGTTCACCCATCCATCCACCCCGACCTCATGGACTTTGTTCCTCTCGTGTCATCAGAATTTCTCCTTTTCTGCTGTTATAATTGTTTTGATTGGCAACATGGCGAAGAAGTAAAGCTGCTGATTTCCACTCAATAACTACCCAATTTGGCACTTGTTATAAATTGTGAGATGTGTAATCAGTCAGTGCAGATATGTTTCTCAAATAATTGGCATAATTTATTCAAAAAGGCAAGAGTTTTCAAACAAATCCACGAACATCGTCCACTTCTGTATCAGTAGTCGAGTGGCAAAAATTCTGTTTCAAACCTTGAGAAAATATGCTGCTACCATGAGCTTTGAAAGAACAAAAAAAGGCATTCATCCTCTCCACACAATATTCTGAGCCCTGCCTAACTACTAAATGTCTTACAAGGCTTTCACACACATCTCATGGCCTTCATCTGCAAAAGGAGTTCAGCTGTCATTGACGGGAATTTTGATTAAATCATTTTTTATTTTCAGAAAAGTGGTCACTAAGCAAATAGACGTACAGATGAGAAGTGAATTAGAGTGAGTTTGTACGTTTCTATGAAATGTTTGATTTTCCACAGAAAGAATGTGGAAAATTACATTTTCATTTTAATTAATTAAAATAATTTAAGCACTCTGGGGTCTTGGCCACACAAAAAAAAAAGAAAAAAAAATGTGTTTGCTGCCTTGGACTTCTAACGACTTTAAAAATCTTTTAGAAATAAATTCTGAACTGTAAGACGAGTGAGTAACTTTCTCCAGTGCAGTGCTGGTTTTTTGAATATGTATCCTGCAACACAAAAGGCTTTTTATATTTTTATACATAAAGAACTTTTTTCTGATAACAGTTCCTATAAAATCCAAATGCACAACGATAGCCAGGCAGCCTGTGAAACTGGAAGCAAAGTTTTAAAAAATAA